GGGCATGCCATTCGCGATAGGTGTAGCCTGCACTGGCGCTTGAGGTGTTGATGCTGATGGTGATGTTGCATCCTGTGCTGCTGCTGTGGTCCTTTGCACCGTGGGCTTATCGGGTGATTTGGCATCGGACTTCGCGCCCTTGCCAACGGGACAATCCTTTGCACGATGCTCCTCAGAGCCACACACCAAACACTTTTTAAACCGCTCAGCCTTAGAGAGCTCGGTCATGGAATGTGGGAATTTGCACTTAGGGCCATTTCTACACCCCTTCCGGGAGAGAAAGAACTTACACGGCTTGGCACCTGCTCCTCCCGAGCCTTTCCCCTGCCCCTGAGGTTGGTTTCCACCACCTGGTGCATCTGTGGTTGCATTCAACGCTTGGGCTTTGGGATTGGTGACTACGCGCTTTGAGTCCAGTGCCCCAGCCATGGTTTCAAACTCACCCAGCAAATGCTTGTGGTAGTCTAAAACCTCTTCTCCCGATGGGTGCAGATCAATGTGCAGTGCACTACGCACGATTTGAGTGCGGAACTGCACATCTGGGTGTTTGGCTATGTGTTGGGCTGTTACCGTGGTTAAACCACGGGCCAGAATGGACGGATCAGGGGCTACCATCCCGCACTCCAAACAACGACGATGCCAACGACCCCACGACCTCAACAAGTTTACTCCTGCAACCACTTCCGTAAACTGCGGTGGATCATGCAAGTTCCTGAGTATGAGGTCGCGCTCATTGGTTCCACCTGGCTGGTAAATCGTATGGAGGCGGAACATGATGTGTGCTGCATTTTGAGTTGCCCTGCGTGCTACGATGTCCGATTTCACAGACGCATCCAGTGCTTCCAACAGCATGGCACACGCCCTAGCGTTTACCCTTGACCACTTGCCCTCAACAACCTCCGCCCTATCATCAGGAGCCACCCTCAAACGCTCCACGGGGGACGAAACACTCCAACGGGCAAATGCATCACGCGCCAACTGCAACACACTCGACCACCAAAGTTGAGAGCTGTCCGAAAGATCAACCATCAAGCCGCTCACCAATTCAAGCCAGTCTTGAAACTCCAAGGAGCCACCCGAAGGATTAGGCGCAACGAGTTTTGGCAAGGTGGTGATCCCTGGTTTAACCGTTTCGGGCACATCATCGCCTTTAACCTTGAGCTGTTGAGCCTGTAGGCTTTGCAGCTGTTGCACCCCCAAAACCAGAGCATCCAACACTGAACTTGGGGCTTGTGGTGTTGTGTCCTGCCCTCCTGGAGTCGATGCAACCTGAGCGCCTACAGCCTGAGAATATGGCACTTGCCCGTCCCTTCCGGGCGGCGGTGGCGGCGGTGGTGGCTGCCCTACGTTGGTGGTAAAGCCATCTAAAACCGGTGGATTGGCTGGTCCACCTAAGCTCGGAGCCCTCAACTGCCCCAAACCCAGGATTTCGGGCTGAGAATGGGGGTTTGGGCCAGAAGAGGCCCGCTCAGGACCTGAAGCGAGTGGAACCTGTGCTGATTGAGCCATGGGCTCTGACACAGACCCAACCCTTCCGGGTGGTGTAGCACTGCCCGGCAGCCTTTGCGAACCTTGCAAGCCCGACCACAAGTTGGACCAAAACCCTGATGTGGATGCTGGAGCTCTCAGGGCCTCAATGACCTGATCAGCCAAAGTTGGGATGACAGGATTCGCACTTGGAGGCGCAGCACTGGGGAAAGGTTGAGGAGGGATTGGCGGGTGCCCACTAGGGGTCTGCGTTTGGATGCTCCTGGCAAGTGCTGCTTCCCTAATGGCTCGCTCCCTCTGCTCATTCGCCTCTGCTAGTTGCTGCCTTAACCTCTCATTTTCGGATTCCTGTGCCTGCGCTCTGGCCTCAAACCCTGCAAGCTGCCTGGCGACCTCTGCTTGGATAGCCTCCTGGGGTATTGACGACGTCTCCGTACGGCTAGGGGGCCGCTCAGGGGCTGCAGATCTAGGGTAGATGATGGGAGCCCGCTGCTCAAGAGCTTGCATGCGCTGCAGCGTTTCCGCATTAAGTAGCGGGGGTTCCCTTCCGGGACCCGGGGCAAAGGTAGTGGGTGTGCCGAGTGATCCCGGCTGCGGCGGCGAACTACTTGACCCCACACTCCCATCTGCCAAGGCCCTCGCCCTAGATGTTGCACCAGGGCTTGCGTGAACATGTACATGACGTGGCGGTGTCTGGGCCTGCACCTCAGTCCTTGCCACGCGGAACAACTCGGAAACACGAGACATAAAAACACCAGGGATACCCTCAACCATCTCGGTGATGGTGGTCAAACCCTGTTGCGAACGTGGGGTGACAAACCCCTCAACTCCAGGAGCTTCCCCAGTTGACCTTATGCCCCCCAAACCACCATCACCACTTTGGTCTGCAACCTCGCGGTCCTCACTCAAAGTGTCCTGACGGGGCTCAGTGTTGGCCCGTGGTCCTGGGCTTCCGCCCGGAGCTGCAAAGGCAAGTGGCATGCTTCGGGGCATACCCTGCTCAATCCCACCCTCACCGGTGGTCGACACATGTTGCAAGCCTTCTGCTGGGTCTGTGCTAACACGCGCCCTTCCCGCAGCCGAATCAACCACAAAACCCAAACCACCCTCTGTGCGGCGGTGGGTGCATCAGGTGTTGTGGACGTCGCATGCCCTGTGGTGCCATAGCCCTGCGTTGGGCTCATAACCTGCTGGAGTGAACCAGCAGGTTGAGTAGAGGATGCAAGTGGAGTGATCAGGTCCCCTGCAAAACTCAACCCAGCCATAGCTCACACAAGGCGGAGATTTTACGCACAAGAAGAAAGCAAGCAAAAAGAAGTCTGTGCTACTTGGGCTTGGCACCTACAGCTATGGTACATGTGTTGTTAAAATGTCATGCTCAAGGCGTTCTGTGCTTGGGCCTAAGAGCAACAAGGAAAAAGATTCCGCATGTACACATAGCAAAGGCTTGCAAACGAGGCATGCACTTCAGCATGAACCCTATTATGGGAACCCTAACCCCCACTAAATCCCCATAGGCTAAAACCCCTTTTGGTCACCTATGAGCACATGACTCTCGCAGGCTTTCATCCCCAAAACAGGCGACTGGCATTCCTTGCCTCCTCGACCTCATCCAAACGGCGAGCGTTTCGAGCCACCGCCCAGAAGGCATGATGCCGGAGCACGTAGGACACAAGTTGCCTGGGTGGCAAGGAGCAGTCTGTTGGTCGCAGCGGCGGGTCTTGGGCTCTCAATTTGGCACTTTCAGCGGAGACTGGAACAAGAGAGATCTACAGCAAAAGCCTAAGAGTTGGAAACCCAATAGCCTCAATCCTTAAGAGTAATGTATAGGGAATCCCAGCTCTATTTGGCCTTAATCCGGTTTCCAACTTTACGGGGCTTACTGTAACCACAAAGCAAACTCTTTGCAGTCGAATCGCTCCGAACCGGTGAGGAGAGTTCGACGGACACAGTCTGCTGCGTCCCTCTCGAGCTTCGCGAAATGCTTCAGCATGTAACCTTCCGTGCGGAGCTCAGCTACGGTGGGAAGCAATCGTGCATCCTGCTGCTGGCGCCAGCTGTCATAGGCAGCCTCTTCAAAGAAGCGGCCTGCACCGGGAACGAAGATCTGCCGCCGAAGCTGTCGAAGAGACTGTTTGCCCGAAATGTGCTGTTCGGAACTTTCTTCGTGCTCCCGACTGGCCTCGAAGGCGGCCCAGCCCCCGTAGTCATCTCCCATGGCCTTGACCTCTGAAAGGAGCCCGTCTGAGACGCTCCCTTGATTCATCATAGACTCGTAGTCTTCCTTCGAGAAGGCACGGGGGCCCAGGATGGCAGCCAGGTTGCGACAAGCCTTTCGGAGCTCGGGCTCGGTGATGGGCGCCGATGCCATGGGCTGTCGGCTCACCTCCGGCTCCGGCGACGCCGGCGTCAGATAGGCGACTGTCGGATTCAGGTAGCCGCTGCAATGAAAACCCTCGGCATCAATCCGCCCCTGCATACCGTCCATCTGAATGTTGTAGACATCCTCGTCATGCTGCAAGATCACACCGTCGCTGCAAGGGACGGGCCCGTAGATGCTGTGGCAAATTCGCACGGCGTCGTCCTTTATGTAGATGGTTGCCTGACGATCGCAATAGAGGTTGCAAAAGCTAATCTCTCGCTTCGCAGAGTTCATGTGGGAAGTTGGGGTGGGGCGCACTTATTCAAGACTGTTCTGAAGGCTTTCCCGCCGCCTCGCCATGTTCCGGGTCAGAGATGTCCCGGTAGGTGCCCAAAGGTTTCCAGCCCTCTTGTCGAAGGTCTTCCTCGCACCATTGCTTCGTCTGCAGAGCTCGCCCGTGCGGCCGCCGAACCTGAGCTGCGGCTATATAAGTCCGGAAACTAGACACTTGAAATGCGGATGACCCCCTCCGGCGGACCGAGACGCCCTTGCTTGCCTCGCTTTGAATCTGGAAAGGACCGCGCAGCAGCTGAGCATCCCAGCGAAGCAGGGGCGCACCTCGGCATGACGACGGAAAATGAACGTGAAACTGCATGCGTCCACAGGGAGCCTTTGTTACACTCGCGGACGCTGAGCCCAGGGCCGTCTGCGTGGAAGAACGCGAAGTCCAGAGTGTGGCGCTCCCGGCATCAAAGCGTTTGGCAACATCTCCGCCGAAGCCGCGAGCTGAGGGCTCTGGCGCGATGCTGGGAGATGCCGCGAGGCCGACCATGGCTCCCTCTCTCTCTCCTCGGAGGAGCTTTGTCCCAGAGAGTCGGAAGGCAAGGGGTCCTGTTGGCCTAAGGACACTTCGAGCCGAGCTCCTCTTCTAAAAACCTCGAGGGAGGGGTTGCTTCTCCGAACTCACTTCCGGCGCACGAGCTGCTTTGCCGACCCAGGGTTCCAAGACATCTCCCGGAAACTGAAGACCCTAAACCCTTAGCCCTAAACCTCTGAAACCCCGAAACCCTAACCCCCCCCTCCAAAAAAAATAAAATAAGCTAAAACCCAAAAACCCTGAACCACAAGCCGCAGCCCAAAGGGCCCTGGCCGCAGCGCCATCGGAGCACCAAAACATGCTGTCCGGGCAGTCAGCCGCCAAGCCTCCAGGTTTAGGGCTTCGGGAAGCCCGGATTCTTCGGTTGAGGGTTTAGGGTTTAGGCTTTAGGCTTTACGGTTTAGGGTTTAGGGCACAGGGTTTAGGGGCCTTTTTCCACCGCATGATCCGTAGAGAGCTCAGTGGGCTTTAGGATTCAAGGAGTAGAATTGAAGGTTTGGAGCTCAATGGCTTCGGATCTTTGCTGCCTTTGGGCTTCTCTTTTGGGCTGCAGGCACCGCGGCGAGATCGCATGTTTTCTCCAGGAGCTGCCGGGCGAGCCTGGCCGACTGTACTGCTCCAAGAACAAGAGCAAGAAATGGGTGCACTCGCTGTAGAAGCAGGATGATGATGCTGCACCTGGAGGCTCCTGCTCCCGCGATCATGAGCTTCTGATATCTCCCAGCTACTCGTTGCTACTTGATGCAGTGCAGCGGTCTGGGCCGAGGAGGACGAAGTGGGCGAAGCTTTCTAGATCGATGGAGTCATGAAGTCCAGGTGTGGCAGCAAGGAGTGCAAGATGCCAGCAGCATCCGGCATCATGACGTGGAAGTGAGCGCGGCGGCGGCTAGCCCTTCAGCCATCGTCCAGAAGCAGGTGGCGTGAATAGCGCCGCACAGCACGGTCCAGGTAGTACAACACTGCATCATAGCCTCAGTACGTCATGCTTGAAAGCTACTCTGAGCTGACACATGTAGACCCTAAGGCTGCCGCTTAAGTACTTCTCCGCAGCTTGCCTGGCTCCAGCTGCTATGGAGGCGGCTGCCTCATCATGCCTGCCAGGTATGGTAGCGCCAATGCTGACACGACTTTATTAACACAGATGATGATGGCATTAGTGACATTAGTGAGACTAGTCACTAGTCCTCATAACAGCCGTCAAGAATAGCCTCCTTCCGAAGAATGCAAGCAGAAATTACAATGCGAACAGCAGAACAACACAATAGCAATGATGACTATGTGAACGTTCAATACAGCATGCACGACAGAAATGATAGGGTTATTCGAATAATGGACATGATGGCAGCAACTGTGATCTGTGATAATGATACTGGTGGCACTGATAGCTTAAAAGCCACTGGCCTTTGCAGCCAGTCCAGATTCTCAACCAAGTCCTGGTCATCTCTGGCAAAGCAAATAACTGCAGCCACGCTGAAGACACCGTGAGGCCGGAAAAAACGAAACTGTGTAATCTGCATCGACATAGAGTTATAAGCCAGCATCGACCAGCGGAAAACACTCTACGACTGTATGCCAATCTACCAAGCTACGAAAGGGAAGTCCTTGAGGTCATAGCGCACGGGGACGTAGTGCTGAAACGGCTTCCTAAGTGCTTGTTAAGGTTGAAGTTCCTTAACCTCATTATAAACAAAATCTCGAAACACCCTTACAAAAACAGACAAACCCAAGAACACTAACTTAAGAATAAACAAAAACTCTGCAACACACTCTGTTCCTGAACACGAACCCAGTCTCAGCAGGCCTCGGCGACTTTGGTTTCTCAGGTCCACGAGCATCCAGGCCACCTGAGAGCTTTCCTCGGCTGGTTTTAGGGTTTAGGGCTTTTCGGGGTTTAGGGTTTAGGGGTTTAAGATTTGGGTTTTGGGTTTAGGACCCGCGGTTCTAGGATTTGAGGTTTGGGTATTCTTCACGGCTTCGGGTGTTAAGGTTTGGGTTCCGCATTTCGGGGTTTAGTGCTTGGAGTTTTAGGGTCAAGGGCTCAAGCTTTTAGGTTAGTTTAGGGTGCACGGTTTGGGGTGGTGTGGTTTAAAGTCCAAGGCTCTACGGCTTTAGGACATAGGGTGTCTTGTTTCAACTCCTGATCTTATGCTACTCTGGCAGATGTCAACCAAAGCGCAGGAAAATGCTGCCCTTCATGCAACTCGGAACCCCTAAGCGTTCCTTATCGGACCCTTCAAAGGAATCCTTAAAGAATGCTTTTAGACTTTTAGAGTATAGAACTCCGAAGCCCAGTCTCATGGTTGAAAACGACCTGACCGGTGTGTAGCTGCCAGTAAATTCGGTCGCCGTTTCCGGTGCCTTTCAGGGCTTTGGGACGTGTTGATGGCTTTGAGGTTTGGGTGTCAGGGTTTGGGGTTTAAGGCTTTCGGGTTTCGGGGTTTTGGGGGCTAGGGCTGAGGGTTGTGCCTTCGACGTTCATGCCATACTTGTACTTCATCTGCTCCATGCTACTCACAGGCTCCGAGGTCATGTCCATCTTTTCGAAGTATTCCCACAAGGTCGGCTCCATAGCATGCGAGATGCCCGTCCACTTGGCGTCGATGCCCTCCACGTACTGGGAGAGAAGAACCAGAGCACCACGGGGAGTATCAAACCAATTCGAAAAGTTCCAAACCTAGGTGGGGCTTTTAGAGCCTTTGAAAAATATTAGTAAATAAGATCCTCTTAAGCCCAATAAGGGAAAATATATAATGTCCCGAAGCCCTACCTAGAAACCAGCTCGAAGCGGTCATCCCAGAGCCCCAAGATCTCATCGTCCAAACCAGCGAGACAAGCACTCCAGGGCATGGATCCATCTGAGACTCTCTTCATGGAACAGGGCCGGTTCACCCAGTTGGAGTTCGTCCCTCTCCAAAAGAGCCTTGCAGTTCGATCCTCCCAGGGAATCTTTGCCATGGCTTTTTTGAAGCCGGCCGTGGCTTTCCGACTTTGCCATGGGTGCAACTGCCATTCGAAGGGCAGAAGAATGTAAAGCCCACGCGGCTCCTGCGGACGGCAGCGCGTAAAGATGGGCACTGGCCAGTCCCCAAAATCGTTTTCCGTGGGGCTGATGAAAAGATCCAGGTCTGGCAAGGGAAGGTGCGTGTTCAGTATCCGAAGGGCAATCTCCACGGCCCTGACGTAAGAGCAGTCGTTTTCCGAGTCCCGAGAGGATTGGCACTGGCGCCAGTCGCAGCCGATCATCTCCCGCCCATGATCTCCTCTGCCGGTTTTAAGAAGCTGCTGGCACGGTTGCACGTGGAACGACTGTGACTATGGAAGGCTTCTGCAACACCAGCAAATCGCGAAGAGAAGCAGGCAACGAGCATCAAAGAAAGATCTCGAATCACTCACGAATCGGAGCGACAACGGTAAAGCTGCTCTTGCTGCACATGGTAAACCTAGCCCAGACAGGACATGGATAAAGGCAAACAGCTCTCATTCCAGGTCGGCAGTTGTGCAAAGCGGGACGAGGTTTCGAAGCACGAGGCACAATGCACGTCCCCTAAACCCTGAACTTCCTAAACAGTGTATCTAAAGTCAGTTAAAGGGGAGCATCCTCATTAAACCTGGTGCAAAGCATTGAAAACATTACTCATCATATGTACGTGCCAGAAGTGTTATCATAAACCGGTCTCACCACTCTTTGCTGCAAACCGGCTCCTATCCGAACTCGACAAGGTAAGTCCACCAGCTTCCCTGGCCGCGTGGCACGGACTCGATCCATGTCCTGGCGCAGGGATTTAGAGGCCTGGGGTTTCAGGGTTTGAGGGTTTCGGGTTTAGGGGTTTAGGCTTAGGGGTTTAGCGTGCACATCCTTGGGGTTTAGGGCCTTTGGGGAGTTCGTACAGACCCTGAGTCGGGTATCATGGGGAATTAAAGGTTAACCTTCTTGGTTCTATAGGGACTATACTACCCAAAAACGGTTAAAGGTTGCCTACTCTACTACTAGAAAGCCCTTCGACCTCGGCGAAAGCATCCAGCTGGCGCTTCGACCAGGTCCTCCCTTCCAAGGGTTGGAACTCCTCCTCCAAGTCCTCCCTGGCCCTGGCACAGGGGTAGTTGTCAAAATTAAGGTCCCTTTCTTGGGTCCCCTAAATGATAGGTGCCGTATTACAACAGGGACCCAAAAGAGTGTCCAGTTCATGCAAGATCTGGACAGCCGGGGGATCTTAGCTCCTGTACAGAAGCCAGACGAGCTCACCCCCACTTAGCTACTGCATGCTTTTAACAGGAACCCCCTAATACCCTGAAAAGGAACCCTATTATAGAACCCCGTTACTGCTTTTAAGGACTCCGGTCCAGCTCCCGGCACCGTCGGGATCCAGGAGCATCCGCCTCAAGCCTGGGAAGCAGCACTCAGCAAAGCCCCTCGGCAGCACGTCGCCTGTCTCCGACGGCCAACAGCTGCCGTGAGGTAGCACACAGCACACCTGCAACAGCATGTCATCTACTTCAAGGACCTAACCCGAACCCTAGGGCCAAACTTTACACCGGGAATCCCTCCCCAAGCTGGAGACTGGAAACCTGCCAAGGCACCTCTCGAAGAACCATTGGGAAATTTTCGAGGAATCGCAGGCCCTCCTCAAGCCTGCTCTCCACCTGCCAGGAAGTCCAAAAAGTTAGGGCTCCTTGTTTGGGTGTAGGGTTTAGGGACGCCGGGATTTTGGGGTCTAGTTTTTTGGGGCCCCAACTTCTCCAAGTACCCACCTCTTCCCAGTGGCAGTTTTCATGCTCCGGAACCGGCGGCAGGCAGCAATAGTCGAAGCTGTACCTAGGGCTCCAAAAATCCACGTAGACATGGGGATCCTATGTTCGCCTGTTTTTGGTACTAGAGGTCATGATTGCTATGCCCAAAGCTTATATCCTCCTCCCCAAAACCCTAAATGGCCGTTAACCCGACTCCAAGAGGAGAACGCAAAACCCCAAAAAAGCCGAGGCCCTGCCCCCCAAAAAAGCGGTTCAAGGGTTTAGGGTTTGGGTTTGGGGGTTTAGGGTTTGGGGTCTAGGGTTTATTTAGGGTTTAGGGTTTAGGGCCCCCTGCAGTGACCATTATCTTCAACTCTAGTGCATTTCTTATGGGAACCTCCAGAACCATAAACCCTACACTCTCTGATAGGGCCCTTAACCTGAAGAGCCCCAAACCCTTAACCCTGTGATAGAACTCTAGAGCCCTAAACCCTCAACCCTGTGATAGAAGCCTAAAACCCAGGCCCTCTTGTAAGTGCCCTGGCACCAGCCATCCATGTCATCGAAGCACGCCTGAGCCGCCCCGTCGCTTCCGCAGCACTCTTCGAAGCTCAAGGCCTTGAGACGTCTGAGGCCTTTCGGGCTTATCTTGGGGGTTTAGGGGTTACGGGTTACGGTCAGAAGTTTAGGGCAAAAGGTTTAAGGGTTTAGGGTTCAGCTCCGGATCGAGCAGTCTCTGGTTTTTCGGATTTAGAAGAAACCCACCCACCCGCCCAAAGAATCACATAACATCGTCTTCCCAGAGCCCTGAGCCCTAAGGCCTTAAACCCAATCCAAACCCAAAACGAACCTTACACGAACTTTCAACAGAACCCTAAACGGAACCCTAAACGCACCCTGAACGAAACCCAAACGAACCCTAAACGGACCCCTAAACGAATCGAAAACCCTAAACGAAACCTTACCCGAAACCCTCAACGAAACCCTCAACGAAACCCTAAACGAAACCCTAAACGAAACCTGAACGAAACCCTGAACGAAACCCCAAACGGAACCCTAAATGAATCCAAAACACTAAGCGAAACCTCAACCGAACCCTAAACGGAACCCTTAAATGGAGACCTTAACGACACCCCGAACGAAACCATAAACGGAACTCTAAACAGGAACCCTAAGGTTCGGACAGGTTCGGACTGTGATTTTACGGTTTCGGACTGCTTTTTTGGAGGGTTTGGCCCCCGAGCCTTGCCCACGAATCTTCGCGCTTTTTTAAGCCCAAAAGTTTGTGGGCGAGACCCCCAAAATTCGTCTACAAGACAGGTTTTGGTAGTTTTGGCCTAACCCCCGAAATTTTGTGAACCTTGCCCACGATTTCTGGGCCTTTGCCCCCGAATGTTTGGACCTTGCCCAAGATGTTTTGGAACGTGCCCACGAATTCCACTATAGTTTACGGTTCACAGGGCAGAGAGAGATTCAGAGTTTGTGGTTTAAGGTTGAGGGTTTAAGGTTCAGGGTGTAGGGTCTGGGGCTTGAGGTTAAGATCTTAGGGGCTTTGGAGGCTTAGGGGCTTCGGGTTTACGGTCTGGGGTTTAGAGTTCAGAGTTTCGGGTCGATTCGATCAAGCTGTCGCTGGGAGCCCCCGCGCGATCTTGAAAGTTGGCTGATTCCCAGCAAAGGGGATTGCCTTCTTGCTCCTGGTGCACAACGCGCGCAAGCCCGAAACACCAAAGCCCCAACACCCTGGACCTTACACCCAAACACCCTTAAAGCCTGCCATTCCAAAACTCTAGACCCCGCAACCCCAGATCCATAAACACTCACAAACCGTAGCAAAATTGGGGTTTCTTCGGCAGCTGCAGACTGTACATCTTGATATATAAGTATTTGCTGATTTTATCCCTAGTACCAGTACAGAGAGCTCCGGCTGTCCTGACCGAGTGCGAAATGGAGAAGGGCGAATGCCAGAGCGGAGTGGCGGAGCCCGGACATCAGGAATCCGCCGGGCGGGCCCATGACATGCAAGACTACTAGCAGTCGGTAAATACTTACATGGGTTTTGGCTACCGGCACTACCACTCCTGCTCCTGCTACTACTTTTTTTGCTACTTCCGTGACTGTTGCAGCTGCTTCTCGTCCTTAGCCTCCCATGCAAGGCTGCCAGGTCAAATCAAGGTTTCAGCCATCTTCGTAGCTGCTGCACATCAGTCACCGCACGGAAGTATCTACATGAACGGCTCTCCTTCAAATGAAGGACCTGCCAGCAACCCCCATGGTCAGTCAAGTATTTAGGGCTTTGGTGCTCGGGGGTGCAAGGTTTGGAGTGGCGGTTTCGGGTTAAGGAGTTGTTCTTACAACAGCCACAGTCACCAAACCTCCAAACCCCCAAATAGACTCCTGATCTACTGCGAGAAGCTCAACGCTACATTGCTTTTCCTTTACCAGATTGAGAAAACGATCAGACTCGAACAACCTGCAAAAGGCAGGTGAATGCGTCCAAATACCTTCAACACAAGACACGAGCCTGAACCACATGCCTCAACCCGAGGCAATAGACCCAAAAAACCGTCCGAATGGACACTGCGCTGCCTTCGCATTGATGCATTCGCAGCATGGCTCTCGTAGGATTTCGTAATACGAGCCAATAGCCTATGCTGTGATGCCGCTGGACACTGCCTGTCACAAAGCCTGAGCCTATCAGGAATGGCCCAGTCTCTATGCCTCTTGCCAGAGGCCTTAGTATTGCGAGACCGTATCAACTTCCTTGATGTCAGCTTCATCCGAGCCAGGGTCCCTTTGCACGGGTCCACAGCACAAAGAGAGTGGGTAACTCCGACGCGTCTGTCTGGTTCTTGGTAGGGAAAGGGGGAATGTGTTATGGAGACTATTATTGGGGATTATATAAGGACTACTTTAGGGATCCATTTCCCCGATTCCCTACGGCCAAGTCAAGAGCCTGGAAGCCGCCGGCACCTTTGGCACGCACTTCTCCAGGTACCTTCAACCAGTCTTGAAGGTTTGCCATGATAGACTATACCGGAATGTAGCATGATAGACGATACTACACCATAATATATCGTGGTATAGCTTCAGAACCCCTAAAACCTCAAGCCCCTACAGGAGAAGGCTGGGAGCCTCCCAACCCTGCAGCCCAAGACGGGGGAGAAGGGACCTAAATCCCTGCTTCTCCCGAAGTCCGATGCCGCCACGGTTCTGGTGCAAAAGCATGGCCAGATACACACGCGACCACATTGAGACAGAGACGAATTCGAGCGGGGGGGGGCACTTGGCCAATACGATGCCTCCATCCCAAGCTCGCAAGCCCGTGGCCACATGGGACCTGCCAAACTTCAGCTTGCACAGAACTTGCGCAGCTCTTTGATGTCTGCAGTCGCATTGTATGCTGAATGAGGTAGGCAAGTATCATGGCAAATGACCATTATTGGATCATCCTCACAAAAGTTTTGCAGTTGGCGGCGTCTCGACGGCTGAACCAATGTTAGGGAGCCTCCGTTTCACTGAGACAGTGAAACGAAGGACAGTACTGGGTCGATTTAAGCAGCCGCCTCTCCGAATCCACCGGATCCACCGACAGGATCAAAGGCCTGCGTGTCAGTGTTGGTTTAGGGCTTTTAAGTTTGAAAGGTTTAGGGTTTAGGGTGGGTCGTTTAAGGATGAGTAAATGCACAGGCACTTGAGGGCAAACTGATCATCGTCGACAGCACATGTCAGAACAGGAGCGTTTAACCCGATGGTGCCACCTTCCGTCGATCGTGAAGTCGCCCTTAAAGTTGTAGGCCATCATCAAGGACTGCAGTCGGGCGAGCATAAACTCTAAACCCAAAGCCCAAAACCCTAAACCCTAAGCCCTAAACCCTAAACTTGACGGTTCGTTTCCATTTCATAAAGAACTCCCTGAGCCCGCCTTGGCATTTGTGAAAACGCGCTTGCTGGCACCTGCCAGCTGCAAGCGTCCAGAGGGCACTCACTGGCAAAATTAAGAAGTAATACAGGGGCCTTAATAATTAGAATAGGGTTCTGGGGCCCATTATGCTAGACTTAGAAATTATAACAAGGAACCCCCAAAATAGTATAGGTAATTATTTAAGCTCCTATAGTAATTGTTTTCGGATCGGATGGATGCACTCCCAGCCTCGCCTGGCAGAGCCTTAGGCACAGCAGTCGGAGCCGCAGTCGGAGCCGCAGCCGCTGTCCTTGTAGCTTTAGATGTATCGTAGACGTCCCTCTGCTCTTGGAATCCTGTCGTCTTCAGGCCTTCAGTCGTGCATGTGGTGAAGGAGGTGGCCGGACTGACATCTGAATCTTACGTGCTTCCCTTCAAGGTTTCGGCGAGTGTCCAGGTTCAGGCTGTCCTGCACTGGACACTGGGATGTGCGACGTAGGCTGGCCACTGGACCTGGCACAAGGAAAACGTGGAGCACCCGTGACATACAACGGTGACTGCAACAGGAACTGCAAGTGCTTGCACGGCTGCCAGTTGCTGATCCTACTCCTACTCCGCATGGTTCGCTTCCGCTTTTTGTGCTGCAACTACTGCATTGCGAACGACGGACTGTGATTTTTCCCGAAGAAATTATGTGCGTTGCTCTATCTTCCTTGTTCCTGTAAGCGTCTCCTCCTGCTACCGCTGCTGAGGCTGCTACTACTCCTGCTGTTGCGATGACCATTACTATGGCGATGAATAGTTAAGCCAAGCTATTTCCACCACCACTATAATCATCAGTACGGCTATCATTATCATAACGATGGTTCTTATTGTTCCAGCGGCGACGATGATGCCTGCGGTCACTACAGCCACACATCAGCATCAACTCTCATCATTACCATGTGGGTAGTTCTCTACATGAAAGTCCCCATTTAGGTCCCAAAAGTAATACAGGGACCCCTTTTAAAACGGACCCTAGAAGGGACCCTAATTTAGATAACTACCTTGCTTCAGGGGGCTTCGCACTGAGAGGTGTCCTTGGAGGCATCGCGGCGCTAGCCATGATAGTTCTTACAGCGGGGAAGCTACAGAGTGCCAGATTCTGCTGGAGCCTCCCTACTCAACTAACCCAGAGCATGCTAGATTCCTGTCCGATCCTGGGTTCTAGAACTGCATCAGCAAGGAAGCCATCTGACGCATCCTCGGACCTATGTCGCAGTCACCTTTCCTTTCTTCCGCGTCCCAGCCCAAAGCAGTCTACAGCCACAGCACAGGCTTCCCAGTTATAGGGTTTAGGATTTAGGGTCTTCTTGGACCCTGATCCTGCAACCACAGATGTTCCCGGGTGACGCAGTGTGGCCTGTGGCTGAATGGTCTTGGTCACACCAGAGAAGGCCGTCGGCGCATAGCCGTAAACCGGACCGTGTATGACCCGCACCTCAGACGAGGCCAATCTTTCGTCTGAGCTCATTCATGGAATATGCCGAATATTGGGACTCAGAGACTTGAACGTGCGAAAAGCCATGAAGCCCTAAACCCCAAACCCCATCAGCTCTAGTCTCTACGTCAATGTGCCCTTGCCCACACCCTCTGTCTACTCAGCCTCCAACAGCGGTTGGCCTGCCTGAGCTCACATCCGCCATTGCAGCAGCTTCAGCGCTCAGGGCTAGGGCGTCAGCTCGAAAGCAGTTGTTGCTGCTCTTTCCAATATATACATATCTTGTGTACTTGCATGTGCATGATTCCGAGGGTTTTTCGTTTGGGCTATCAGTAGCAGCCAGCGATACCGGCGCGGTTTGCCACGCTATGCCTCTGCATTCACTGAAACTGATCATCAAATACCAGTGTCAGGGTGGCAAGAAGGAGAGTGCCTTTCCGTCTTCTGTTTTATCATGTCACAGAGGTTTAGGAGTTTGGAGCGGTAGCTGCTTGATGTGATCTCAAGCATGTATTCTGCATATTCGATGGCTCTGATGAGAAAGCCTGGCTGTCAGATGAACAGCCGGCTTCCTATCCTTGGCCTCCACATGTTCCACCTGCAGTTCGGCACAACACCGAAGACCACTACAACCACTGCAGTACCTGGCACCCTGCCGGAGCTTTTCATGCACCTTCGATCACTTGCGGCCACTACGAATTCGCAGCGGTCGACAAGTTTGTGTGAAACGTCTCCAACGACTGTCTCTGTGTCGCCGCTCGCGTGTCCTCCTAGCAGCCTAGCACATCACCAAAGCCACACTCGTGATTTCTCCAGAACAAGTGAGGGACCCGTGATTTTCGGGGGCCGCCTCGGGCCACGCAGCAGCACAGTGTCCAGGTCTGTTGCACCTGGCGAGGACCAGCACGTGCGGAGCACGGAGTCCGCGAAGTCAGGGGACCTTGCATCCTTCACGAATCTTCACGACAGTTGCAGAGTTGCAGAGCCGCTCGATACCTCTCGCTCCGCACCCCCACCTCAGACCTCAAGCCGGAAATCCGAAGCGCCTCCGAAACCAGGTCCGGGTCTCGAACCTAGCTCGCAGCATCTTCAGCGGAAGCAGCGACAACCTGCAGAGTCCGCAAAACATCGTTCTTCACTTTCATGGCAGACAAGAGGATTCCGGGTTTAGGGTAGAAAGCAAGTTACACATTTTGGCCTGCAGCCAGCCCTAAACCCCAAGCCCCACCCCGCATCCAGCACCCTAAACCCTAAACCCCAAACACTCCCCATGGCCTCCTCCGTCACCTTGGCCTCTCCTGTCTCCCCTGCTTCCAATGCCCGCTCCATCTCCTCACATGCGACCAGATGCAGGGATAGGGGTACTATAAGGCGTCCTTTAAAGGGATCTATTAGGGTACTATCAGGGCTCTTTGAAGGGATCTATAAAGGATTAGGGCTTGGGGTTTTGGGGTTTAGAGGTTTAGGGTTTGGAGGTTAAGGGATTAGGGATTGAGAGCTTTTAGGGTTTAGGCTTTTGTGGCAAGGCCGGTTTCCCTCGGAGGTATGAGGTTTTACGATCTGGTTTAAGGGGAGATGAGGAACAGGAGGAGGAGGAGGAGGAGGAGGAGGAGGCCTTCCATGATAGCGCCACACCGGTGGAAGTAACAGTCATAGGTAACACCTTCCAGTCATTGTCAGTGCCACCGGAAGTAGCAGACGAATGATCTACCACCATATAAAGGCTGCTGCGGGGGCCGCAATCGTAAGTTCCTCCTTGTCGAGCTCATCCAAAAACGCGGCGTCTAAACCCCGAACCCTAAACCCTAGACCCTCTCAGTTTGAACTCCTGTCCGGCCCTAAACCCAAAGCCGAAACCCTAAGACTTCTTCTGCCAGGCTGCCCACATCTGCTCCAGCTTTGTCTGGCGCTGCCGGACGGCCTCGTAGACCGGACGGCTCTTCTGAAACTTTAGGGTTTAGGGTTTAGGGCCTTGTTTTAGTGTAGTGCACCGCTCCTTTGACTCCAGGGTTAAGGGTTTAGGGTTTAGGGTTGCTGTCGGAATGGGTTTCTGTTGAGGGTTCCCTTCAAGCCATTAAGGGCTCCTTTCAGGGTTCTGTAGGGGTTGCTATATCGGCTTAGGTTTAGGGTCGGGGCCTATTGGATTTTACCATGGTTCGGAGGGCAGACTGTAGTTATAGTACACTAACCTGATCCCTAGCAGCCCCGAAGCTTCGAACCTGGAGCCCTCCACTCTGTACCCCTAAACTCTATGCTCCGAGCTCAAAACCTCAACCCTAGACTTGAAACCGTAGTTTTTGGCATTATTATTGTTGTTGGTAGTAGTGTTATCATCGTTCTTGGTATGACTATGATCGGTCCCGAGGTTGCTTCGCCTCCACCTTCGCCCGCATGGCTTCAGCCCAGGCTTCCGCACAGGCCTCGTGTGCAGAAGCGCCGCTCCATTGGAGCTTTACTTGGGGTTATAAACTCTAACAGCAGCCGCATGTCCAAGACACGAAGGAGCATTTTGCGGAAGAGGTGTGCCAAGGTGGTAGTGGGGGAGGAGGGGGACTCTCGCTCTGCTATGTGCCAACTTTCGACACGTTCCTGCCGTCTCCAAGCAGAGCTTTGAACTGTATCGAAGGTCGTAATGCAGTCGGAGTGCTGATGGTGGTTATGACCATCATGGGCAAAGAGACTCCCAGAGAAGATGACACGAGTGGTCGTTGTAATGAGAATAAGGCATAGGAACAAAACTAACAATTCCCCTCCGAAGACCTTGTGAGTTAATCATGGGACTTAGTAATGCCCGCAATTCAAATGTTCACAAGCCTATGTGTTGCGTATTTGTGTATGTATGTGAGGTGGCGCGGCAGCGTGCGTCAGTCGAGTTTTCTCCTGTCGATGGTGCTCACCACCCAACCGCTGCCTTACACATGCCACCAAGGATTGCGCTTGCACATTCACTACCTGCCGGATGGTTAAGTACCTCGTTTGGGATTGCCACGACATCGAACTATTATAATCCTACTTCGAACTACACCTGAACAATCGAATGTCGACATCAGGATCTCACCATACCCCACCTCAGCCAGAAATGATGATAATAATATTCATGATGGTAGTGATGATAGTCATCGCTGCCTCGGAACACAGGCGCTTGCAGCCACCGCCAAATTCCGGCGGCACCTCTCTTTCCACCGCATACCTGTGAGGGATGCGTTAGATTTGCAAGGCTCGCAGGGTAGTCTTCCAGATGTGCAGGCTCCAGACAAGGACGTTCCAAGCATCCACGTGAACATGGACACGATACCAGAACTAGAGCTGCGCCAACCTTGTAAGACTCCCTCCACAAGCAAAAGCGTAAACGCTGAACCCCAAGCGTGACGGCTCTGCCGAGCGTAGAACTGCTTGAAGCACCTGAGAGGTCCGAGCGAAGCGGCCGCCAGGTATTTGGTGCGCGGCGAAGCGATGATGATACTAGCGATGATGATGATGATGATGATGATTCTGATGACGATGATGATGATGATGATGGTGACGATGGTGGTGGTGCTGATGATGGTCATGATAATGACCATCCTCATCATAATGGAGTGCTTGCAGTACAAACTAAGATGGGATCAAGAGTGACGAGATCTAGGTTCGTGGTATCGTACTTTACGGGCATGTGGATAGCGATGTTCCAACCTGCGGGCTGTTGCTTGAAGGCCCTCCTGCAAGACGCTAAAAGCCAGTGTGTTCGACAAGTCTGCAGTTTCTCAGAATACAAGGACCTTGCAGGGGCCTTGAGAATTGGAATCGGCTCTTGCGGTCCATTATGGCATAACATTACAGAGGCTGTCACGGAAAAATATTCATCGGCAATCCTAAAATCTCGATTTCTTGAAAAGACGTCCAGCCAAGCGGTTGAACAGACGTCCAGCCAAGCGGAACTCAATCAAGATTCCCTTGTATTATGCATTATACACTGTGCTATATTATATATATATATATATATGTGTACATATAGATATTATATTTACAAAGTCCGGCCAAAATCTGCCGAACCTACACGAAGAACGAAAGACCCTTAATTGACTGTCTCCCCTCAGCCCTAAAAACCCCAAACCTTGAAAGCCTTAACCCTGAAACCCAACCCAAAAAAACTTACCTTTGGTTACTAGGGAATGGAGGCATGGGGTACCATTATAACTACTATTACCACCATTCTTCCATTCCCTGCTAACCAAAGGTAAGAAAAGCCGAGGATGAAGCTGGTAACAACAAAGCTTCTCCCCGTTGGGTGATGCGCTGCCCTGCCTGGCAAGAGGGCCGAGGCGGGGTAGAAGACTTCGGGGTTTAGAAGGGAGTTCTCACACACTAGCACTAAGTGTGTTGATAGGTGCCTCACTAGGTGGAAGAAAGAGCCAACAGGAATCGCGAATTACAAAACTCATACTTGCCATGCAGGTCCTTGTCTTCTTCTTATTGATACCACCACTATGACTTCTACTGTCCTCACGCTTGCTGCATAGTTCTTGCCACTAAACCGACTAAGCATAACCCCTGTGTGCCATCCGAAGCACTAAACCCTGCACCCTAAACCCTAAACCCTAAGCCCTAAACCGTTTAAACAGCCCGCGGCACGTCTCTGTCGAGATGGACTCTGCCGGTGGTTTCACCGGAGTGCTGGCACCTGTAGCAGCGACGCTTGGACTCCGCACTTCAGGGATCCGGTACCATAAGATGTACTAGAGGTTCATATCAGGATTACCCATATAGTAGAATAAAGACGGTACCATAAACCTACCATAAGTGCCACTTTGAGGCTACTGAAAGTATTCCGTCAGAAGATCTGGGGGGCAGGCGCTCCAGGTTCACTTCGCTGTCACCCAGACTGGACCAGAAGGACCCGACGGCCTCACAGCGCTCGCTCTTGACAGGGCGGATTTAGGGGAGTCCAGGGTTTAAGGGGTTTAGGTTAGAAGGGGCCCCCACCCTGTAATAGTGGTATAATAGGAATATAGTAGGGCCCTAATAATTATCATCCTTATAGTCACTATTACAGGGTGGGGGCCCCTTCTAAGGTTTCGGGTTGAGAGTGTTTAGGGTTTGGGCTCGTACTATTGAGGCAAGCACCCGAAACAACAACGCCGTCCATTCCTGCCGCCAGCCTTAGGGGCTGCGCTCGGTTCCTGCACCGCGGCTGGAGAAGGGTCCGTACCTGCCGAAAAAACTGCTGCTGTGCTACATCGTGGCAGCTGGTCGGGTCGGTTGAGGTGGGGTGAGTTCGGGCTAACTCGAAACCCATGCTGGGCCTCCCGGCCCAGTCAGAGGACAGCCAACACAACACGTGCAAGAAAGTCCTCCCCCAACTCCTTTCTGCTACAAAGCCCGTAGCAGGCTTTGAAGCTTAAACTAAGCCCCTGAACCCTAAATCCTAAACCCTAAACCCTAATTCCTAAACCCTAAACCCTAAGTTCTAAACCCCAAAGCCTAAATCCCCTGTGCCTCCCCGCCAAGCCCTTAAGGCTTCCTGGAAGCTTGCGGCAGACTCCTGAGCCAGGTGCCAAAAGGTTTAGGGTTTAAGAATTTTATCTCCGAAGCAGAATCAGATGTTGGGGTTTCGGGTTTAGGGGTTCCGGGTTTAGGGTTTATGGTGTTTCGGTTTTTCGGGTTTCGGGTTTAGGGGTTTCGGGTTAAAGGTTCATAGGGTTTCGGATACAAGATGTGGGTTTCTTCGGGCAGCAGGGTTTGATGTAGAACCGGGTATTGGGGTTTAAGGCGTAGGCGAATTCGTGTATCGGGGTTTAGGTTTGGGTACTGGGGTTTGGGGTTTGGGTATTGGGGTTTAGGGTTTGGGTATTGGGGTTTAGGGTATTGGAGTTTTAGTAGTTACTCTCACTAAACGGCACGAGGTTCGGAGGTCGGCTACAGGTTTGTGGTTAAAGGTTGATCAGGACTTGTGGTTTTGGGCTTAAGGCTTGGCTCTTTCGTGATCGCTCCTGTAAGAATCCCGAAGTTAATGCTAAGCTGGCTGAGGCACTGCTGGGCCCGGCGTTGTGCTTGAGGTTTCGGGTTCGGTGCTAGGCTTGGGGTTTGGGGCAAAAGTCAGATGGACAAAGTACCACCTGAGGAGACTCCTGCGTGCTTCGTCACCAGGGGAAAACAAAAGGCTCTGACCCACAGAAAAACGGCCGGACATGGCTGCCTCCTCATCAAAGGTTCCCGCCAGCAGATTCGAGGAGTCTCCTTCCAAGGGTACCCTGGTTCACTTGGGGCAGCTTGGGGTTCGGAGTATGGGATTTACGCCTTGGACCATGAGACTACCCAAGCAGCTGAATCACGAGCGATGAACTATACACCCGGACCCTAAACCCTAACCCTGAAACCCTATACCCTAAACCCTAATTCCCAAACCCGAAACCCTAAACCCTAAACCCTTACCCCGAAACCCTATACCCTAAACGCTACGGAACACCTGCGAGGGCAGCAATACTAGTATTTCCGGAGCCTGCTTCCTCTGCGGTCTTCTGGCTGTGCACAGGCAACTGCGCCTCAACCTGCAATCGCAGAAGATACCAAAGGGGCCTTGATAGGGTTCTGGGGCCCATTATACGATCATTAGAAAAATAAAGAACCCCCGAAATGGTATAGGTCATTATAGTATAATTGGAATAATAAGGCACCCCAAAAATAGTGTAGGTCATTATAGTATAATTAGAATACTAAGGAACCCCCAAAAAGTAGTATAGGTCATTATAGTATAATTAGAAGAATAAGGAACCACCAAAAAGTAGTATAGGTCATTATTTAAAGCCCCCTATAGTATCCTTACAGTTCCCTTGTAGTAGCCTTATAGATCCCTTTCAAGGAACCGTCATATATGGGAGGTTCCCAAAAAAAGGGGACCCTAATTTAGTACCCTAAATAGTAGGATCCTTATTCTAAGGACCCCAAAATAATGTCCCCCCAATTTTCGGAAACTCCCATATTACATTATAGTACCCTTATAGATCCCTTTCAAGGAACCCGTATATAAGTTCCCGTACAAAGAGCAAAGCATCGAAGCCCCCGCGACTGCGCCTCCGCAGCTCCGAAGGTGACGCGTCGGCCTGACGTGCTCGACTTCCTGCCTGACCATGGTGGGATAAGAACCCATATAATGCAAGATTTAATGGCACGTAATCTACTATTGTACTATACTAAACTCTATATATAAATATACACACATATATATATATATACATACATATATATATATATATATGCATACATATATAACTTCTAGCATCTAACATATAATATATATATATATATATATATATATATATATATGTAATATATATATATATATATGTAATATATAGTGCGTCTCTGAAGATTGTCTTTGGAAGCTGAGCCTTCGGGGGTGCTTCTCGAGGGAGCCATTTCAGAGAGGCGCTTCCTGGCACTGAAACGCAGGCGCCGCAAGCAGTTGTCGTAATTCTCGAAGGGTTTAGGGGTTTAGGGCTTACGGTTTAGGGTTTAGGCTTTAGGGTTCAGGGTTTTGGGTTTAGGGTTTAGTTTAGGGTTTCGGGTTTAGGGTTTGAAGCACGAGCTCCTCAACTTGAGGATGTGCCCGGCGGCCATGCCCACCTGCTGCATGTGCTGCTCCTTGGTCTCAAGCCGTCATGAGGGCGGCAAGCTGTAGGCTCTCAAGATGGGTTCATATGTCCGCACATATGCTACTTGCATAATCTTGCATTTAGATTTTTCACGCAGACGCACACTTGCAGACCGACATGCCAATAGATTGTCATCGTAGAGCTACGTGTGCCACGCGATTCGACCCATGGAAGCGTGCACACAAGCACACATACCCACCCACCTACCTACCTACTTCCTTACATACATAAATACATGAATACATGCATGCATGCATGTGTACACACATGCATGAACCTGTATATAGAAATTCCTGAATTGAGTACAAATCTGGCGGTGTTTCCGCACGTATCTTTCTTGCTTCTTTCTTAACCGTATTTGACACAGGCCTGCATTTCCTTGACCACCTCCATGCAATCGAAGCCGTGCTCCTGCCCGCCAGGCATGCGCAGGATGCTTCGCAGGGAAGCTGTTCAGGCTCCCCGTTGTGCAGTAGTGGCCTGAAACAATCAGTGTAGGGCTTGAGGGGTAGATTAAACCATGGTCCAGGGCTTCAATCCGCTGCTGAATCAAGCGATAGAGCTCGGACAGCAAACTGTTTTCAGCTTTCTCTTCACACCTGTGCACTTGCCGTTCCGCCAACCTGCACCAAGCAAGAGCCGCCTCAGGGAAAAGCAGCGATCCTCGAGCTCTGATGCCTGCGTCTAATCCACCTTTGTACAATTTCCACCATAATACCACGATATAACCGATTATAAGATAATACAATACCATGACATAACCTGTTATAAGATAATATAATACCGTGATATAACATAAAAGAGGAGACTATAATACTAATGCCCTATAGTCTGATACAGTACAATGGCTGAAACCACGCAGGCATCGAGCCTAAAGTGTGTGACGCAAGTCGGTTCTACCGAGGATGCAAAAAAAGCCTTCATGAAAGTCATCCTGCAGACATGGGAGCTTCCGAAAATAAGGGGTACCTTAGGGTTCCTTTAGACGGTTACTATAAGGGTGCCTTTACAGGGCTCTACAAGGGTTTCGAGTTCCCAAAATTTATGTAGGAGTACCGTATTTTGGGGGTCCTTATACTATTTAGGATACTATGTAAGGGTCCCCTACATGCAGTCGAATTTCGCGCAAGGGAAGTGTACCCGGCTCTCCGGGCTCCGTGCCCAAATGGTCACGTGATGTTTTCAGGCTTCAAACCTCTTGGCTAAGCAAGCTATAGGGAGGTGAACAGACAAGAGGCTGCATAGTCCATACAAACATTCTTATGCGGGTCTGTTCACCTGCTGAAAAGCTTTACATGGCACTCTGGCCCTGTACAACACACAAGTAGAGTACATGATCATGGTTGGCTTCGGTCTTCAACCAAACGAACCACTCGTCAGACCCAGAAGGATTGATCGAAGAAATCTGTCTTGAGCCTTTTGGCAATGTGCTGGTCGCTGCGACTTCTTTAACGTGGATCTGCATCACACGGCAGCTTGCACGGCTTTAACCAGAGACCCGATTTGCATGCAAGAAGATGGCTGTCGTCCTACAACGACTCACAAGTCTCGTCATCATCCTCACTGCATGCTGTGTTCCAATCGGAATCATAGAGCTGCTCTGTTTGCTTGCAGCGAACCTCATTCAAGAGGCCATCCAGCACAGAGAGCGATCGCGACACTTTCTGCACCTTTCGCCACTGAACGGACGGGGACCGATCCGGCGTGGGGGTTTCACTCCAGTCCGTTGCATAGAGTTCCTCTATCTTCTTGCAGCGCACATTCTCCAAGAGCGACTCAAGGGCACGCGTGGACCACACCATCGCACGCAGCTTCCTCCAGCGGGAGGACCTGGAAAGTTGCAGCGTGCGAGGTCGAGGTTCCCTTCGCGCTCTGTACATCCGCGAGATGGCATCCCCTAAGTCGCTACAGCAGCCGCAGTTCCCGCAACCAGGAGTGCATGCTTGCAACGTTTGCCCCATTGCTCTTCAGAGCACCTGCTGAGCACTCCGCAGCTGCAGGTGTGTATAGAAGCTTCCCGTGCACTCTGGAGAGCAAGACTTCTCTGCAAAGGTGCGGTGTTGTGTGCAGTGCTTAGGACAAAGCAAGCAGACCATGCATGGAAGCTGCAGTCCATAAAGAGGCTGACATACCTGTCGAGCTTCAAGGAGCACAGGAATGCCTGGCTCAACGCAACTTGGAAAAGTCTAACACAAAAAATGCAGTCTGCACATTGAAGTCCAGGCATTTTCCCAAAGCAGCGAAGGCCTCCACCTCCAGGGCCTCTCGGTTCTGTTGCAGCATGGCGGCCTTCGGCTGGCTGCAAGGCCAAACCCTTTCTTTCGTGCACATACGATGAACCTGCTTCAGGGCTGCCATACGCATACGCCTTGATCTAAACAGTCTATATAGCATGGTCCACCGGTCGAAGAGCTGCCTGAAGGTTAGCAGCTGCCTTTCCGCCGACCTTTGCGCAGTCATGTTGTCAGCGTAGCAGCGAGAGCGAGGCTTCAGAGTCTACAGCATCCGGTTCGGCCGCTGGGACTACTTGGAGCTTCATGGTAGCTATAGGTGGAGTTATAATTCGGGTAACTACAACGATAACCCATATTTGGGGACTTATAACTCCGCTTATAACTAACAATGAATCTCCAAGCAAACGCTGCACATCTAAGTGCCTAAGGTTCAGACCAGGCGGCACAGGCTTGAACTTGAAAACGGAAGCTGCCACTCTACTGTTACTACTGCCTTGCATGCTGGCACAATCCCGAATCAGCATGTTTTCGTGCCATGTCCATAACTACTACAGCTACGGCACCGACGAGACCGAGAACGACCACAACCACGACCACGACGATGATTCCTCTATAACGAAACATTCACACGATCAGAATTTCTGAGGGTCTCTGGTTTGACTCCGGAACCTGTTCACTTCTGAGCGAGGAACGCCGGAAGGGCTTGAACTCACCAGCTTGCTGGCCGGGACAAGAGGCACCTGCAGACGCATCGGCCATTTCTGCAAAAAGAGAGCGCCAAGTGTTGCCTGCATTGGCGATCGTACATGCGACAACGACATCACCAAACTACCACACTATGACATCACTATGACCGTCCGCTTAGGAAGGACCATTCTTCCTGTCGACAGGTACAAGCAATCATCTGTTACAGTGTTCTGATGAGATGTCATCCGTGATCCGCAAATGTCTCGGCGCCAGCTGACAGCCTCTTCCTTGCCCTGTGGCGTGCTGTCATTGCCAGCTGACTCCGTCGGCGACCTGTCATAGCAGGCAGTCCGCTAGTCCTGCAAATCCATTCATTCAAGATGGACAGCACCCTGAGTATTGTAGGGGCCTTAATCATTAGAATAGGGCTTCGGGGCTCCATTATAGTACAGTTCTATTGATATCGGTCATTCTTTAGGCTTCTATATCTGCATTCTCAATCCCTCGAACTCTGAGATCTTCTACAGTCTCTGCTGCATTTTCTGAAACACGGACAGGGGTTCAATCGTGGAACCAGGATCCCGGATCTCAGATCGATGGCACAAAAAACGACGTTAAAAACCCACAAAAATGCGATGCTCGCAACTCACAACCATCAAATTGCAATTGTGTGGTCACGCAAGTGTCGAACCCTACATCAGAACTTCTTCTGAACCTCAGACGATAAAGCAAACAGCCGACCTTAGTGCACCGAGAAGCTGCGATACAACCCTGCGACAAGCACTCTCGCGGTCCTCGAAGCCCCAAAACAAACCGAAAGATTTAACCTTCAACCCAATACCCGAAACCTTCAACCCTAAACCCTCCCCTCACGCAAACCAACATTGTCCACACCCTCCCGCCCAAAGCTCTGCGGAAGCGAGGCATGGTCACTTCGGGCTTCGCTTGGGAGGCCGTGCCTTCGTAGCAAGGCTGTGATAGTATAGGTATAGTAGAATACAGTATAGCTTCGTTATAGTTGTGGTTCTAGATATAGTTCTAGTATACTGTAGTAAAATGCAATGTAGTATAGAATCATATAGTCTAGTATAATACAGTGTAGTGCTTGGTTTTGGCCTGGGGGTGTGGGGTCAGCCTCGGCCGTGGGGAGCGCTTAGGGTTTGGGGGAGGGGTTTCGGATTTCGGGGTTTAGGGGTTTAGGGTTTTAGGGTTTTAAGGCTTTAAGGGTTTAGGGGTTTTAGGGGTTTAGGGTTCTTTTGAACGCCTTTTTCCGCCTAGCAGTTGAGGTTGGCCGAATCCACTGACTGGGTGTTGGGTTTAGGGCTTTGTTCGTAGGGGGCGAAGGGCTTCGAGGTAGAACTCTGTGGACATTGGAACTTCCAGACTGTTCAGAAGCAGGCCATGATTCGGAAGCTCATTCCTCGCAGGGGAGGCGGAGAGGGACTTCAGAGGCCTTGAAACTAAGGGTCCTCATGTAGAGGTGCGGTTCATTGGCCTAGGGTGTACGGCTTCATTGTGACCGTGTCGGCTTCGGCTGTGTCGCGGTCCCTCAAGGCTCCAAAGCTGATGTATCTGAAACTCCGAAGAGGACGGTGAGGTTGAACACAAGTCTTACTTGAGAAGCTAGCAGTGCCAAATCCAAAGCGCCATTTTGGCATAATAACAAAGCTAAGGAGCCCCCCAAAGGCATGTTGCTGCAAATTGTTCAGGCCGCTTCATTGCTGCAATCATCACGACGTCATTACGTCCAGGCTAGCTGTTGCTTCAGTCATGCGATTGCTTCCTTCGCTGTTGCTGCAGGCCTCCAGCACACTCTTGATGTAGCCTTTTGTGAGGGGCTTGCCACCCGCTCCGCTACGCCACCTGCACGCAGCTTGTAGAAGCTCTGCACTTCCTAAACCCTTCTCAGACGGCACTGCGCAGCAAAGCCCAACACTTCGCACCTTCCAGCATCCGCACCTCAGCAGCACATCGTGATAAAGGCAAGGCCCGCATATCATAGTATGGCACATCAAAGTACATATGGCACATCATGAACCTTTTACAGTATTGTAAGCTGTGGCATCGTATAGTTTAGTATAGCATAGTATAGTATAGCATAGTGTAGTATAGTATAGTATACTGATTTAAGCTCTGAGTCAGGCACCCTTTGCGGACTGCTCAGCCACCTCAGAGTGGAGACGGAGATCATCTGCAAGGTACGGCTCAACACCGCTGACCCAAAGGCTCCATGTACCCATATAGTAGGTACTTAGGCCTTGAAGTACCTATATAGTGGCCCCTTTAAGGCCTATGTACCCACTATATGGGTACATGGAGCCTTTGGGTGAGCCCTGAGGCTCCAACATCCATTGTGCGTCTTAGCAGCTCCAACTTTGCCTCCATCTGCTTTGCCTGCAAGGGGTGGAGGAGTGGAAGCAAGGCGCGTCCACGAGCGGCCGAATTCAGAGGACGTGTCAACTTGCTCGAACGTCTGAAGCCAGTCTTGCTAGCACACCGAACCTGCCTCCTCCTCCATTCTTCTGGTGTCATCTCTTCGGATCGCAATGCCTTTAGCCTGCAGCATCCATGGCCGATGCCAATAATCGAGACTATGGATGCAGCGAGAATCCGCATCGCACGAACAATTCAGCAAACTCTATCGGAGAGCAAGCGAGAGGAAGGACCTTCGCCATCAGGACGTACGCTGGCCAGGCACCATCAATGCTGGGTCTTGGAAAATCGGATCTTGTACAGGCTGCTGTTCGGCTCAGGTTATGGGCTCGGAAGCTCAGGTCAGGCTCAGGTCAGGCTCAGGATGCCTCTCTCTCTACTCTAAAGTAGGCTCTACAGTTACCCACTGGAAGTGAAACGAGAAGAAGCTGCAGGCGAGCAAACACGACAGCTGGCGGATGCGACATGCCAAAAGCTGATGCCTTTTCAATGAAGCGAACGGATGCCATCTCGCTCGTCCAGAGTGGATGAGGACTCAGAACCTGGGCTGAAACGGGCAAGGCTTCAACAAGAAACAGAATCCATGAAACCGAGCAGACAGCAGCCCGCGAAGAAGCGTTTTTTTACCCCCGGGGCAGAAGCATCCTGCATCTAGATCTCATCGTCATCGATCCCGAACTTCGGGCGCACGAAGGGGATCATGGGCGCCGGGGCCGGTGGAGCCAAGCCCACAGCCATGCCGGGGGGGGGCACAGCCATGGGAGCGACCATGGCCACGCCGAAGCTCATCGGCGGCCGTAGGAGCCCCGGAGCAGCTAAAGGTGCTCCGAGATCCTGGATGCTGGTGGTAGGGCAGAGATGCATGGAGTCGGAGGTTCGGACGGCTTCGACCGCTGCACTGGGGAATTCTTGTGGACCAAACTGCACGAAGAAATCCAGGGCTCTCAGGACCTCTGGCATCGCAGCGTTGGGAGATGAGAGGACGCGTGCCGCGAGGTCCGTGCCCGCCAGCTGGAAGAGCACCTCCACACGGCCAAATCGGTAGTGCCCCGGTCCCGGCAGGAGGCGCAGCAGCGGGGGGAAGCCCGGAAGCCGGCGTAGGACCTCCATCAGCGCGGACTCGATGAGGTCCATGGGCCCGCTGGAGAGGGGCGCTTGCAGCGGTGGGGACCGAACGATGTCGTTGTAGATGTGGAAATCCTTAGTCTGGAACCCAATACGCCATTAGCAGTGATTGGTTAACAAAAAGGGACCATGCTTCTGAGTGTCGTCGCCACCCAGTGCTGGCACTCGTTCCAGGACTTGGGTGATGGTGGCGGAGGTTAACACATGACGCGGGAACGTGTCCTCATCAAACAAGTTGATCAAGTCCTCGGTCCAGTTGTATTTTCAGGAAGCTGGCGAAGGCAAACAACTCTTGTACCCACCAACCAAGGTGCTGTCCACTCTAGACTAGACTGCAAATCTATCTGGAGAACACCCCCCAGCTTCCCGCAATTCGCCAAGCCGCACCCTCCAATCTCGGGTCGCAGAGGAATATCCACCGGCCGGGCCTTGTCAGCGTTTCAGACTGAGGCTTCAGACAACCTGTGGACAGCAGAGCCCTCATCCTCCACGCACTTCAACGCAACACTCCACATGCACTCGCGTCGTATAGGGGCCGTCATAGTTAGAATAGGGTTTGAGGGCCCATTCTACCAAAGCTATAATACGGAGCCCCCAAAATAAAATTGGTAGTTATTTAATGCCCTATGTTACTCCCTTCTCTTTCGCCGTGGCTCCTGAAGATCTGCCGCAGCCGAGTGAGCACTGCTGGCAGGCTGTTCCCAAGCATGGTCACGGCGCGTTGCAGGAAGTCCTGCCGAAAGCCAAGGCCACATTCCCGCACCTAACTTTCTTCAACCCAGGTTCGAGGACGAGGACACCGGCAATTCCTGGAAAATCCGGCTCATGCAGAGCCCAACAGCGGGAACAGGACCAGTTTGGTGTGAAGGGCGCACCTCCTTCAAGCTGGGTACAGCATTTGAGTACAGGTTGCTGGGACTTCAGCTGTTTTGATCTCGCCTTCGCACCCGCTGCCTACCTGACCTTCACGTATCGTGGGAACGGATCGGGGTTCGGGGGTTCAAAGTGCTCAAGACTCAGAGGTTCGGGTAGACCAACTGATAAGACCACATAGAACACACCGTCGCTGCAGCATCTGACGAGAAACGGTGCATCTGTTGAAGTACACTCGAGATAACGGCCGCTTAACTTCATAGGGCTCGGATACTATATGTGAAGGCTTCCAGCAACACGAGCGTAGGGGAGGTTCGTGGGTGCATTCACAGGCTACGTCAAGGCACCATACTCCGATCCCGCTCAAGCCCTAGAAATGCTGCTTCGATCTTTAACACAGATAGGCCCACCTCGTTCAGCTTCTTGACCCGGCTCTGCAGCCAGTCGTCCATCAGCTCCCCGTAGCCCTCGACCTCACCGACTTCAGCTTGCTGGGGATCGGGCTCCGAAGCGCACAGGCCCGGGCATAGAAGAAAGATCTGCGCAGCTTCCCAGCGAGCTCACTGAGCTCCGGCCTCAGAATCCCAAGGCCACGACACGACGGCGCAACAAAGCTGCCTGGGATCCCGGCTGGTCCCAGTAGTTGTTCTGGCTGCCCCTTTTCAGGCAAAGCGCCGCTTGGAGCAGGAAGGCCTGCAATGAGCCAGAGACGACCGTGAAAAGCACTTCGATGCAATTCATCCCAATACTGAAGGAACAGCTGGAGCTAAGCAGCTCAGCACAAACCCCTGTCATCATTCATTCCTACAGTCAACTTCTACTCGAAAAAGCTATAACGTGTCCTTAAATCAGCCCTAAAGGAACCCTGACAAGCAAGCCACACCCACCTCCTTGGCGCGCTTCGCCCCACCAGTCAGGTGGCGAAAGGTGGCTTGAAACGGCGGACTCTGAACGGCCTCCGCGCTCACATAGGGCCCAGTGTTCAGGGCTTGCAGCGTCGGGTTTGGGGTTCGGGGCTTAGGTGGCAATGACATGCGTCCTGGACTAGACCCCATTGAACCCAGTGGATGATCAGCTATCAACCGGGTTAGAAGTACTTCCATCGGGAATGGAACTAAGGATACCTTTCTTCGAACCCTAACCACAACTACCCTAAACCCTGAACCCTAAACTAAATCCTAAAACCTTAAAGCCCTAAACCCTAAACCCTAAACCGGGAGACGTCTGTGGCTTCTTTGGGCATGGCATGCGGGGCCTGGAAGAGCGCCTTCACCTGTGCCAAAAGCGTCGCCTGCCCATCGCCGCTCAAGGGGACAGGTGTTGGGGTATGTACTAGGTACGGCCCCCACTCAGTAATAGTTGAATAATATTCATAATATAGATATATTTGGACCTTAACAGTAGCCCCATTTTTGACTCTTACTGTATCGGGGCCGTACCCAAGGTATGTATAATATCCAAAATAAAAATTATGTTCAAATTGCATTATATGGTAACATACTGTAGTGTATTATTTTGTTTTCTATAACTGTGAATATTATGATATAGTTTTATGTAACTCTACATGACTTTATATAACTTGGTATTATAATCATACTTGATAATAATAACCATAATAATAACAATAATAATATTACTAGTAATAGTAATAGTAATAGTAATAGTAATAGTAAGAATAATAATGGTAGTAGTAATAATAATAATAATGATAATAACAATAATAACAATAATAATCTATAACTATCAAAGGGAAACCTAAAGGAATAATAATGATAGTTATTGAGGGCCCGATACCAGGCTTCCCGGGCTTGACTTTAGGGCCGTTGGGACTAAGGTTTGGCTTTTGGATTGGGGGATGAGGTGCACCGCTCACTGAAGCGCCCTCTTTCTTGCCTTGCAAGGCCTGCGCATCGATGTCAAGTAGCTACGAGATCTCGCACTGAGATTCGAAGCTCCATGATACAGGCAATGGGTCCAGCCCTCTCCCTTCCCTTTCGTGGCAAAACATGCGAAGATGGTGCACTTCTGCTTGCCGGAGACTAGACTTGTCATCAAGTGACAGGGACAAGGGAACCAAGCGGAAGCCCAACTTGCAGAGAGACGAGCTTCTGCTCAGCTGCCACCACGCAAGGTCACTAGCTGCTGCTCCTCTTCTTTGCCTTTGCCTTTTCGGCATCTCTGCTACGAGATGCTTTCCCCTTCTCCTCATCGCCTTTCTCCTTCTTCTCTTTCTCTCGGCTTCCCGAGCCGGATTTCCGAGGTTTTTTCTCGCTCCTATCTCGGCTTCTGCTCCTCGACTTCGCCTTCTTCCTCTCACTCCCGGAGCGATCTCTCTTCGGTCTCTTTCGGTCGCTGCGGCTGCGGCTCCGCCGCTTCCGCTCACTTCGGCTCCGCGATCGCTTCCGACGGCTTCGAGAGCGGCCCCTGAGCTCTGAGAGCCACGAGAAACCCAGTCTAGGGGGCCTCAATAATGAGGTGTTGGGGTAGAATCATTATACTATGACCATAACAGGGAGCCATCAGCTAGGTCAGAACACAGACGCCGACATCAGTGCTCTGTCGAGGGCATCCTTTCCGCAACAAAACCCTAAAACCCTAAACCCCTAAATCCCTATAATCCAAAACCCATAGAGCCTTAAAAAAAAAAAAAAACTAAAACCCTAAAACCCCGTCTCTGGAAGCCAAGTTGCGGTGAGGAGCGAGGTCGCTTTACACTCGGAGAGCCCCTCCTCTTCACCTCTTGAGCTAAGGCTTTCAGGGCTTTGAAGGGTTTAGGGGTTCCTTCAAAGGGATCTATAGGGTTACTCTAGGGCATTTTAGGGCTAAGAGGTTTTAGGGTTTAGGGTTTTAGGATTTTAATGTTTCTAGGGTTGAGAGTTTTTAGGGTTTAGGGTCTTGAGATTTAGGGCTTAGGGCTTAGGGTTTTAGGGTTTAGGGTTCTAGGTTTTGGGGTTTTAGGGTTTAGTTTAGGGTTTAGGGTTCTAGGGTGTAGGGTTTTTTGAAGTGCATGGGTTTAGGGTTTCAAACTAAGGCTTCGGACCTTTGGGCCTAAGGGCTGAGGATGTTAGGCTTTGAGGATTAGAGGCTTCGTGAGGCGAGGGTCTCTGAGTGTTCGGATCGCTTTAAGGGTTTGGAAATTAGGAGGGGGGGTTCCTCGTCACTACGAGGTACCCCTGGTCCAAACCTAAACTCCAAACCCGGGAGTGCCTCATATCCCAAGCAGAACTGTCCCCGAGAGCCCCCACTACCCCTCAGTCAAGTACTGTGTCTCAACTGTCAAAACAAGACTTACCGAAGCTGAAGCTACAAAAATTCGTTCTCCCCGCGCCCGTCTTAACCCTTATGATCCGTGCAGAGCCCTCACAAACCTCAAATACGCCCCTTATCAACAATAACAAAAGCCGCGACAATAACCCGGCTCACAAAACCTTCTAACAACCTCTTGTTTCCGCAACCGTCAGAAACCCCTCACATAACCCGTGAGAAACCCATACGACGCTAAACCCTAAACCCGAAGCCCGAAACCCTAAACCCCAAACCCGAAACTCCAAACCCTATCCTTACGGGTTTTGGGCTTTCTGGCCACGAAACGCTTGGCGACCTCCGCTTTCTCACGCTTGGAGACCGCTTCCTCCCGTAGTAGTGGGCTTAGGCGCCTTTTGTTCTATGGGTTTGGGTGGTTAGAGTATGCTAGATCGTCTGCGCTTTTAAGGTTGCAGGCAGTCTTGGTAGTTGGGGGATTGTTTGAGGGTTTGGGGTTTGAGACTAGGCAGGGCCATAAGAAACACACTGGTTTTGCACTGTTCCACTCATCCCGGCTTGAGAGACCTATTCTCCCTGAAATCAATAGCACAAACAGCATTATCTATTGTGCCTGGTGTACACCTAAGTGTTTTTGCTCGGTACCTTCAGCTTCGCTTCAGACCTTCGACGTGTCGGAAACTGAAACTGGGACCCCTTCTCCTCGCATGGGGTTGTACTTCAACCCTGGGCCTAAGCAATATGCTCGGGGCATCTCGCCTCAGAAGGCCCATCGTCCAGGAATGATGATGTGATGTCGTGGGACCAATGCATCCGTTCTCCCCAGAGCACGCCCCAATCACGATGACGTCCGTCGGACGTGAGCATCCGTGACGTCTGTTTGACCAGTGCGTCCAAGGCATGATTTTCAACACCATGCAGAGCCTGTGACACAAGTATTGCTCCTCATGTTTTCTGATGGCGCTTCCGGTAGGTTCCTTGTGGACCCGCCAGGGCTTCTGTTCCGCTCGCGCCATCATGTAATGTAGTGCTACATTGAACTTAAACAACTGTGTGGATCATGCTTCTACTCTTCATGATCTATAGAGCCGTAGAATGTCATAGTCTCTTCACGTGAATACAGTTTTGCATGTCATGTCAGTCTATGTTACTTATATAGGATGTTTGAAATTTATGTCTTGCTGCTGTACATGTTTGTCGCATGACCTGAATGTTACGTAGCTTGGTTGCTATAGTTTTCTGAAGTTATCTGCATTCTGTACGTATGGGGATTTCCGAAAATAGGGGACCCTAATCTGGCACCCTACATAGTAGGAGCCTTATTACACGCACCCCAGAATAAAGTACCCCCAATTTTCCGAAACTCCCATATATCAGCCTAGCCCCAGCCTCCGATCAAACTCGCCCCGGGAAACCTCGACGAATCCCCAACAGCCCCCACTCATGCCTATCTACAGGAACCTTGTGGAACATCTTCCGAATGGCTCTGTAGACTGCTCCTCGTGGCCTACACCCTAAACTAAAACTGTAGGGGCCTTAACAATTAGAATAGGGTTTGGGGGTATATCAAACTATGAGTAAAACAAGGAACCCATCTAATCAACCCTTCACCCCAACAAACCCGAAGGCCTTCGCGGGCTGGGTGACTTCCGGCGTCCGCGGCTACGACTCGGGCTCTCGGAGAACTTGGGCGGATCAACCAGCTCCTCAGCAGAAACTCTGGGGGCTGGGGTTTGGATCGAGACAAAGGCAATTGTATAAGGGTCTTGACAACGGTTTCGTACGGTCTCACTAGAGTATAGGATGGGTATAGGGTTGATAAGACTCCTGTAAAGGATTTGTAAGGGTAGAGGTCTTCTGTGTTGGCAAGAGCCGAAGTCTGCACATGCAAGTGTTCAAGGTGTACGGTTTTGGCGAAAACGCTCTACAAACACCATGCGCAAGTATCCAAACAACTAAGTGCCATGCCCAGTTGGCGGCATAGGGCCTCCCTCTGTTTTCCTGCACAGCCATCATGAAGCATCACGGGAGCGGGTCAGTCGTGAACATGCCGGGCCGTCAGCCAAAGCCTGTGATACCCGACCCTGCCTAGTCGGTCCTACGTAGTTTCTTGGATGCACGTATGGATTTGCTTCACGCGAAGCCTCGAAGTCGACGTCAAACTTCACCCTGACGCCCGGCGCGACGCCGTTGCGTCGGATGTAGTTCTTGAATCGCTCCCCCTTGGCGTTCGCGACATGGAGCTGGATGTCGTCGTTGTGACGACCCTCGCGCTTCACGAAGCCATAGTCGGCTGTTTTCCAAGCAACCACGGTACCTGGGCGGGCATGCTTCAGCGCACACAGGGCCGAGACCTCTGGCTTTGTAAGCTGGGCACACTGCGTCCACCGGAGGGAGAAACCCTCAACCCTGATTCTTGCAAGCTGAGAGTCCCCTTTCACGAGCTTTGCCATTTCTCGGTGGCATGGTGAGCACCCTCAAGTCTTGAGCCAGAGGCCGCAGACACAGCGCCTAGCGCACATTCCTACAATGTAACAAACCGGAGACAGGGAGAGGCCAACACTAAGATGACTCAGAACAGTGTGGCCAGTGTGGCCTAGGGTTCGGACCTATGTTTTTGGTGACAGTTCTTGACTGTAGGATTAGTGCAAAGGCTGGCCTGCTTCGCCTGATCGCGCCAGGCAACAGCGACGCGCTCCTGCTTTCAGCACTGCTACGCAACGGTTTCGAGTTTGCTCCAAGTTGTATTCCAATGTCATCTGCATGCTGCAATCATCTGCTCCTCGTCGAGCCAAGCCGCAACTTCCTGTCGTGTTTGAGCCATGCAGAGTCAGCTACGTAGATCAGACTCTTGGGAGGTTTTGAAGCGTTGCTGCGTCGATAGAGCCGAGAGAGCGCTGCTTGAGCAGCGGGCTTCTTGCACGGGGCAAGAGCAGAGCTTCAAGGCCCGAGGTAAGGAAAATACTTGAGACAGCTTTGGCAGTTTCCTGTATTCCACTACCTGCTGCTCAACAAGCATTCGCTCAAGCAGCGACGAACGACCAACAGGACACGGCTTGTCAAAAGCAAGCTTGAAAGCCGGACCATCAAATTCTTGCACAAAAGAACCGACACAGCACAGTTCTGTGCCTAAAGCCTAAGCACTGTCATTTGCAGGCACCACAACTTTCGGTTCCGGGGCGGGCTGGGAGTTCAAGTAACTGATGACGCGGTCCGTCACCAACCACGAAGCCAGGATCAGCACTACGCAAAGGCCGAAGGAAAGGCCAGGGCCCCAACCTCCCACGAGGTAAGGGACCATGCCTGCCAGCGCAGGTCCGGGGCAGATGCCGACCATGCCCCATCCGAGGCCAAAAAAGGTGGCACCCAGCACCAGCGATCCGTAGTCTCCGGTTTTAGACGGCCGCTCGAAGCTGCAGTCCTCTCCGCAGAGGGGCTTCCTGTCCTGTCTCTCTGCGAGCAAGAACGCCGGGAAGGAGACGCAGAGCCCCAAGCCCATCACGAAGGCCAGGCTCGGATCCCAGGTACCGCCAAAGTCCAGGAAGTCCAAGACCTTCGCTTGACTGGTCATGCCCGAGACGCCGAGGCCCAAGCCGAAGATCATCCCGCAAGCCAGCGGTGACACGAAGCTGCGAGGCTTGGACGGAAGGAACGCAGCCAGAGCAGCTAGTACCAGGCTGGACAAAGCTGCCCCAAGAGGGAACTCCCACTTGGGTGGCCACTGGAGCTCTGCCACTCCCCAGGGACCACTGGCATCCAGCTGGGCTGCATGCCGGGTCACTGCCACGGTTACAGCAGCTACGCCCATGAACGTCGGCACCGCAATCCAGCTTCGAGGCGCAAGGCGTGGAAGTCCACAGATGCCATGTCCACTTGTGCAACCCCTCCCGGCTCTGGTGCCGATGCCAACGAAGACACCGCCCAAGCAGTACCTCGCCACTGGGATGTCCAAGGCCTGAGGATAAGCGAAGTCTCGGTTGAAGGCCAAGTTCAGAAGGCCACCGGTGACCAGCCCGACCAGGAAAAGAGCTTTCCAAAGCTGACCATCCTTCATTGGCTGGCACTTTCCGACTCCACGCAAGAAGGGCCCTGCGATGCCACTGATCCCTGTGATCTTGCCGTCGCCCAGGTATGCCAGTGCGGCCGACAGGCCAATCAGCAGGCCGCCCACACCAGACTCGATGGGAGTGAATGCCATGGCTCTAGAATCAGCTAGAGAAGATGGACGCTTGAGGGCTGTCCTCAATCTCTAAAGCAAGCGCGGTTCTCTGCAGTGCAGTGCTCTTGAACCCGGATGCAAGCAGCAGTTGCCCGAAGTCATGCAGTATCCCAGTCAAGCCGCAAATCAATCGTGCCTGCGTCGTCGAGTCCACCAACTTCACCACTTCAGCCTTCAGGTCCGTGAAGGTCTCAACAAGCTCTTTCTGCGCTGTGTCCGAAAACCTGGCACAGGAACCTACTGGCAAACGGCGTCTGGCTTCTTGGCAGCTGTCAATCCTCCAAAAAGGGAACAGCATCATGCAAACACAGAGCGAAAGACGTATTCACCACACAGACCAGGCACGTGCTGACATCTGTGGACTCTGCTTGCAAAGCCACGGCTAAACCTAACTGAAATCGTATTCGAAGCAATGACTATCGAACATCTTGCAGAGCGCTGGGACGAACTTTGGGGCTCAAACCGGGCAGTGGAAACTTCCAAACACAAAACGAACCGAACCCCATGACCTGCCTGAAGAGGTTCAGACGAACTTCGGCAAAGAATGCTGCACGGGCCCTGACGTCGATGGCCTGCCAGGGCTCTCGACTTCACTTAGCGTTTTGAAGCCACATCCAGAGAGTCCAGGATACTCAAAGCAACCAAATCCTAAACCCGAAAGAATCCTGCAACGGCCTTCAAAGCTGAAGTGGTTTGCTCCTCCTTGAACTTGTGCACCAGCTCCTGCTTTGATGGAGCTGTGGGAATGGGAGGAGGAGACACGGTCGGCATATCTGACAGTTACATTCATGACTTTTGCTCCACTCGGATGCTCCATCTTCCGTACTGTTGCACCCTAATGCCGTCAACTGACACCACATTTTGATGCTCGAGATGCTTCAGCTACCACACGTTCCGAAACCTAGGACCAAAATCACCTTGTGTTCCGAGGGCTTGTGCCGGTAAAGGAGTTCCGAATGGTGAGTTGTGAGAATTGTCGGTAATGTGTTGGTCCAAAACTTTGGAAAGCCCGACGGATTTTGGCAAGGCCTGGTGACATGGAATTACTTATATCTGGTGCCTCGCGATGCTGCCCCATCAGACCACAGAATTGAGGCAGGAAACCTATTGATTGAATCAGGTTTGACTCGCAAGCTCCAATCGTTGGGGTTGTCATGCGTGCCCGTCTGGATGTCAAAAAGCAAAAACTTCGAGCCGGTATGTTGCTCCAAAGCCCTGGATACGAAGCTAGGCCGTGTGTTTGCCGTGTCGCCCAGACCCCGGTGCTTGTGTCAAGACTTCGCAGTGATGAAGTCTGGCCCCGTGTTATCACGTCGCTCCCGGAATTATCCAACGGGCCGTGACATTCCGGCTGCAGTCCGTTCCGGGCGCTCCGCTCTGCTGCGGCTCGATATGTTCCTTTGTCTTCCGATCCTCTGGATCCTCTCCTCCTCCTTCCAGCATGCTCTGTCGGCTCTCTTCCGTCTCGTTCCGGCTCATAAACGAAAACCTAAACCCTAGTCACCCTCAACTTGACGACCGAATCGAATCCTAGCTTGAAAATGTCAGCGGCTGCAAATCTGTCGTGCAAGAACTCGAAGCAACAAACGCAGCGAAGCTGCAAAACCTGGTACCTAAATCAGGAGAACCCACGAAAACGCCCAATTCCTGCCTCAAACCTCCCCTCAAAACTTGAAACTAGTTTAGCATCCGTAATTTTGAGTTGAGAGTTTCGAATTCAAGGTCCTGTAACCCTAATATTCCCCGAAAACCCTGCTAAACCCCGGAACCCCTAAACCCGTAAACCCCTAAACCCCTAAACCCCAAAACCATAAAACCCTAACGCTAAACCCTGAACCCTAAGCCCAAACCCCTCTACCCTCGAAACTCGGCTCCCCCGGTCTTGTTGGGCCTCCGAGGTCGGGCCCGGCTTCTGGGGCAGCGCACCGAGGCGCCTGCGAAGTCACGGACATGGGCTCTGACGGCTTCTTGGATTCCTTGGGGTGTTTTGAAGGCTTATAGGGTTTAGGGTTAGGGCTTAGGTTTAGGGTTTAGGGTTTAAGGTTTAGGTTAGGTCTTTTGAGGGTTTGGGGTTTGGGGTCTTTTGAGCGTTGGAGGGCTCAGGGTTAAGGGTCAGGTCTGTTGAGGGTTGGGGAATTGAAGGTTTGGGCCCACGCAAAATGCAGGTTGTACAAACTTTGGTAGAGTTTTACAAGGGCTTGTTGTGGCGTGCACGAGCCTGGTGAATCGGGCTTGACATAAGGACTTTATGCGGGGTTTACGGTGGGGCGATGTAGAGTCCCGAAACCAGCAATGTCCTCAACTTCGAGGCACTTCTTGGCACTTCTGCAGAGGTCCGAAGCACCACTGGAGACATTGGTACAAATCTCTCCGAGCTCTTCTTATCAGCATCAGGATTTTTGCTGTTTCCGCCAGAAAAACGGGCAATGGTAATACTTTGGACTGCAGTCAAAGATAGTCTATGCAGCTGCCATGCCCTTCGCATGCTTTTCTGGGTTGTTGTTCAAAAACTTGGATTGAGTTACCATGCATAATGAGATAGGGACCCTAAACCCTAAAAACCTAAAACACTAAACCCAAAAATCCTAAAACACTAAACCCAAAAACACCAGCTATGCTCTTTAACGGGGACCCAGCTTTGCATTGAGGAGCCAACGAAAAGTTAAAGTCCAACCACCTCTCATGGTTTAGGGTTTAGGGTTTTGGGTTTAGGGTTTACAGTAAAGTCATCAGCTGCAATTCAAAAAGCAGGAATCTTGATCTAGAAAGCAGGAATGCTAGTGACATTGACATTGGCAAATGTCAGTGAGAATGATGCAGGTCGTGACATAAGCCGTGCTTATAATCTTGATAACGGCTTTCGCAGCAGCAGTAGGCATAGCAGGAGACACATCAATCGGAGGGGCAAGAATCACGAGAGCAACACGAGTCACTGCCACTGGCACAGAAAGAACCAGCATCCTGAACCCTAGACCATGAACCCTTAAAAAACATGAACCCTAAATCCTAAACCCTTTAAAGACATGAACCCTAAACCCTTTAGAAGCATGAACCCTGAACCCCGGATTATGCCAGAGTTTGGCGGTCCTCCGCAACTCTGACAGCGCCGGAGGGTCCGACGTGCCGGAGGTACCATTGAAGACCTCATGACACTGTCCCGCCCATCTCTGGTTTGGCATCCAGGGCGGAGGCCCTAAACGCTATACTAGACTGTATTTTGAGATAAATATACGATATTGTACCACAGTCTTCTGTGTATACCATACTATACTTTAATTGACTATACTTTACTATACTTTACCATACTTTACCATATTCTACTATACTTTACTACACTATATTAAATTTTACCATATTGTACTGCATTACACCATTGTATACCCTCTGGCACGATTTTGTACTATACTATGCCATGTCATACTCGATTGTCCTATCGTGTTCTCCTGGTCCCTTTAACCCAAAAAACCGAAACCCCTAAACCCTAAACCCCACATCTTTCGATGGACGCCTCGACCTTCCCCCCTTTTGTCAAAGCCGAGCTCCTGGCACGGCCGGCGCCTTGGTGAGTATTGCGGGATTGCGGGAAAGAGGCTCAGGGTTTGGTGTTTTGTTTTTTGCACCTTTTTCCATCCGCCTACAGGTCTTAGGAATCTGGAATTTGGGGTTTAAGGTTTAGGAATCAGCTTAGGGTTTCGGGTTTAGGGTTTGGGGTTTGGGAACCGGATGGCCCAAATGGGACGTTTAGAAGACGACGGACCCTAAGGTAGACCTTCAACACCAAGATCCCGATCATACCTGCCCCTCAGCTCCAAAACCCCTCAAGGGCGGACCGAGCCCACGACTCGGCACCTGCAAGGCACAGCAGAGTTTCTGTTCGTGGCAAATGTGCGAACAGATGGCCCCTTTCGTTACCTTTGGTTAGTAGGGAATGGAGGAATGGGGTACAATTGCAACTACTACTACTACTACTACTACTACTACTACTACTACTACTACTACTACTACTAATACTTCTACTAGTACTACTACTACTGCTACTACTACTACTACGATGCTTCTCTTCCCTACTAACCAAAGGTAAGTTTCCTGCCAGTCTACTCCACTGCACCTCCGGGTCTCCCTCCGTCGCAGACTCGATGAAGAAGGACTGAAGATTTCGATACTCCGAGCCTCCGGGTGCTGCGACCCCTGCTTCACGCACTGAACAAAGCTTGGGAGCAGCACTTACCTTTGGTTAGTAGGGAATGGAAGAATGGTAGTAGTGTAGTTAGAATGGTAGCAATAGTAGTTAGAATTCTACCCCATTCCTCCATTCCCTACTAACCAAAGTCAAAGGTAAGAGCAGTAAGCTCGGGACTGATTTCAACGGGGTACACACGGGAGAGCGAATACTGCTCCTGCAAAGAGATTGGCAGCGGAAGAGGTGGGAACGCCGAAATTTTAATATAGGGGCCTTGATAATTAGGATAGGGTTTTGGGGCAAGGATCCCCCGAAACAGTATAGGTAATTATGAAGGCCCCTATATCAGCGTCCAAAACTTCTTCATCTTAAGGTGGCGTCCTGCAACGCGAACTTGTGGATATTGGCAGCTAATGTCTCCTCAGCAAACATGCCCAGGACCGTAAAAGGACAAATGACGGAAACACCTGCACTCATGATCACGAGAAGAATAAACAGCCGGAGAGGCGATAACGGCAATCACTGCATAAAAACCTGCGAAGTACTCTTGTTGAACATCATGGTTGCCACAGTTACAACTTGCTATGTGCTCTAATCCTGTCCATAGCGTGTTCAGAACTTCTCAGGCGAAAATGTTGCCGGTCAGAAAAACGACCATCTTCGTGGTCATTACCACGATAACCACCATCATCATCCACTCATAACAACAATAGTAACAGTAATAACAATAATAACGGTAAAAATAACAATAATAAAACCAACAATAAACATATCAATAAAGAACAAGGCTCCAAGAAGTGCTTCTTGCAAACATCGCCGCCGATGTCCAAGGCCCGGCGCAGGCCGTCTGCGAGGAGCTCGCGTGTAAGCTCCTCACATGGTTTGGGGTTTAGGCTTTACGGCCCTTAGGACTTTTCGACATACGGATTCCTGTTTAAGGGTTCTTAGATTCTTCAGCACACAACAAGTCTAAGTCCGAAGTCCAGAATACGAGGAGAATAAGAGGGAGGGTGATGGGAAAGAAGAATTAGCTGATCGCCCTCTCGGAAGTGGAGAAACGGACAGCTTAAGTCGAACGGCTGGCATGGACTTGCCGACGCGATGCTTCCGGAAAAACAACTTACGGCCTCGGCAAACCCGATTGGTGCATGCAAGTACTTGTACAGTATGTATGTATGTATGTATATATGTATGTACACATATATATATATATATAGACAGATAGATATAAACATATACATACACATATACATATACATATACATATACATATACATATACATATACATATATATTTTTCTATACATATGCATATACATATGCATATAGATGTGTATATAGATATGTGTACATATATATATATATGTAATTATATCAATACGTTGGATACAGCTACTCCGGGCCTTGGATGGGATGCCGTCACCTTCCGCCAAAGCTTTGGCTAAGGAGTCGGTGAACTCATTGATGGATTTGACCTGAGGGTCTAGGGTTTAGGGTATTGGGTTTAGGGTTTAGGATTCAGGGCAGAGTTCGGGAGTTTTGGGGCCACATGCACTCGACTTTCATTGGTGAACAAGACCCGGTTTTGGGCTTCCAGGTTCATATACCGAAGGTCGTTTGCTTGCAGCCGGTCGGATCTGTCCTGTGCACACCCGGCAGAATCTGCGCACGTCGTTGGCTTTGGCTTGAAGAGTTCGGGGTTGGGCGTCAAAGCAAATAAGACATGCATAACGGTTTAGGGTGCAGGGCTTACGGTTTAGAATTTAGGGTTCACTTTCCTCGTTGCCAAAGGTCGGGCTTCAGCTAACGTAGTTGAGGACAGATCCGTGTCGATCCGGCTCCATAGCTACATACATACATACCTACATACATGCATACGTACATACATACATACATGCAGCTAACCTATCATAACATAACATAACGTAACGCAACATGACATGACATGACATGACATGACATACTAAACCCATGCAGAGCTTATTCACATCATACAAAAAGGACATGAATGCAAGACATGTAACGCATATGCACATCACGACTTTATTATCAGAAGACAGCAAGTTGCAATACCATTGTGTCCGATGATTCAGATGCCAGAGATGAAGGCATGACGTGCGTAACCCCACTGCCAGAATATGAAGCCAAATTGTCAGAACGGAGCACTGGGATAAGCTGCAGCCTAGAGATACGAATTTCCAACACGACGACCCCTTACACCTGCCCTCTTCAGCTACGGCCTGGGAAGCATCTTGAACCGGAAGCATCCGCCTTGCAACGGCACTTGCCAGGGTCTCGGCTAGCTGGGCACTAGTTCGAGACTGGACTTCCTGTATCAACCTACGGGACATGAACTGGTTCGCACCTGCTTCGCTACTCCTCAGCAGTCGAATGCCACTTCCTCAACGACTTGAGCACCTCAAAAAAGCCTGTGGCGGCCGCTTAGAGTGAGAAGCAAGCCCGAGACCCTAACCTGCCAAAGATCTGGGTCGAAAAACGGGGACCCTAATATAGTACCCTAAGTAGGATCCTTATTATAAGGACCCCTATAAATAAGGTACCCCATTCGTCCGCCTCAAGCCGAACAGTTCCAGCTGCCGCGGAGCGAAGCATGACCCGTTTGGGGTCGTTGGTTACGGCTCTAAGAAGTCTAAGTTTGGGGTTCGGGGTTTAGGGTTTAGGGTAGATGGCTTGAATCATCAAGGTGCGTATCACAAGTACGCTGACCATGGAATGCAAGGCGGTTCGCGCTCCCTGCACCAAACTGAAATCAAGTTCACATCTGTGGTAAGGGGAGGCACTTTACATACCTGCGGTGGAAGCTCGGGTCTGTAGTGACTGTAGTGTTGCGTGTCAACACGTAGGTGGACATCATTGACGAGGCTTTCCAACGGTGCATGCCAGCAGTTGCGGGTGTTTGCCACATCTACGGTACTCCTTGCTACAAAGACCCCCAGCATGGGAACCAGAAGCTGCGGGCAATGCCGACAGGACATGTGACACGTTGTGCGACAAGGCTTCCAGCCACGATGCTCGAGCCTTCAAAAGATTGCCAAGACGTCACTTGCGGCCCGGAAGCAAAGGACGCACACAGTAGAAGTGGGAAAACCATATAGCAGCTTAGAGCCCAAGCCAGACCAGCTAGCTATCCGAGCGCTGGAGCAATCCTCGAGTCCTTGGACAGATCAGAACTGAGTGTTGCGAAAGGGTCTGCTCTATGTTCGGGTATCGTCGCCTTTCGGGGTCTTGGGAAGCGGCCCCGGGTGCGGCTCCGGGGCTTCTGTTCGTGGAGGCCTTTCGGAACCGAACTCAGAGCCCACCAGGAACCCCGAAAGTCCTAAAGCCCAGTCTCCCAAAAGAATCACCCAAACACGTTGCCAGCAAAGCTTCTTGTCTTGTGTGCTTGTCGAAACCAGAACTCCATCTACTCCGCTGCTGGAAAGGGTGCAGCAACTGCGCAACTGCCTCGAAAGCTCGCTCTCCGAAGTCCAGCCCAGTCAAGACGACGTAAGATGATGATTCCGACTTCCTGCCTGCTCAAGGACTTGCATCTGACATGTGTGACGCCCCTGTATCAGCAGCAACGCCACGGGGTCAATGATCTGCAAGTACGACGACCTAGATGCGTAGCATCGCCACCTGCGACAAGATGTCAATCAACCTAGTGCCCTTCTGCCAATCACCTTGACGTTCGCAGATGTTGACATCGGAGGCACAACCGAAAACGTTGGGCTTCGCGCGGGTTTGAGGCATACATCTCAGGAAGTCGAGTGCTTGCTGCCACTCCCCGGTTGTTTCCAGTGCCCAGACAGTGGAGGTGCCTGTGAACAAGTCAGGTGCCAGATGTAGATCTAACATCTGCGAAAGGATGTGCAGAGCCAGCTCCCACTTCCCACCACGAGCACAAGCGATGATGGCACTGTTGAAGCTCACATCGTTTGGCGAGACCTTCAGCTTCAACATCAGTACCAAAGTAGAGAGCGCAAGCTCCCATTGATCACCTTTTTCTGCTGAGCTGATTGCAGAGCTCATGGCCACCACGTTTGGAACGATCCGACGTCCCGGCATGACATGCAACAGAATGTAGGAGTGCTCCCACTCGCAAGCACCGATGGATGAGGTAAAAGTCACTACGTCGGCCCGGACGTGCTTGCTCGACATCCTTTCTTGTGATTTGATGTTTCGCATGAGCCCGATGTTTCCAAACAATCAAAAAATAATGGGCCGAAAAGGCACCAAGGGACAATGATAGGGCACTGAGCCCTTGCATCCACAGGCCGCACTCCTCATAGGCACTCATCAATGAGTTGTACCTGACAGTTTTACGTCGAGCTTGAGCCAGAACTTGCACCTCACACTGGGACATTCGGCTGCTCGGGACCAACAAACCCTGGCTCGAATCCTCAAAGCCACATTCCGAACCCCAACCCCTACTGCACACCCTGTTCCACAGTCGCAGCAAGGTCACGCGAAAGTATCGCCTGCCACACGCAGCTGCCCTGAGGAAAGTCTAGGCCAAATAAATAGGATAGGTTTTGGGTTCTGGATGTTGGGTTTGGGGTAAAGTTGCGCAGATGAATCGATGTTTATAGATGTCAGGCATGGTAGGTAGCTTTGTGACCGGCCACGGCCTGAACATGAACTTCAGAATGCAAGAAAAAATCCTCAACGTGGCCCGAAAGTCTGATGCCGGGTAGTATTGTTCCGTCTTACTTCAGCCAGCCGAGGAGAAAGCTAGCCGGGAGTTGGAGTCTCGCACGGAGCAGCTCCCAATGCCGACTAGCAGCAAAGACAGGGCATCAAGATGGAGCTTACACGTGGTGACTCCGCCACTCGATCCTATCCTCCCTCTGGCCTGCAAATACCTCAACAGCACATGGGCACGTCCCCGTCTTGACTCGCTCACCACACCCGGGTGTATCCGAGTATAAGGGATTCCATTTCTGGGTTTGCATAGATTCAACGAAGTCCTGCTCCATCGGGTATGCACTGTCGTATCCAAGACTTCCATCAAACAAAGAAAGACGGAAGGAAGTAAGAGGCAAGAAAAAGCAAGTGTACGTACGTACGTACGTAGGTAGGTAGGTAGGTAGGTAGGTAGGCAGGCGTGTTTATATGGATATATATATGTATATATGTACATAGATGCACATAAATGTACATATATAACCATATGTTGTATACTGTACATATTTCATATAACTAATGTGTATGATGCGTTGTTTGAATATCACATTATGTTACATATTATACTACGCTACATTATGTTACGCTATACTATGCTGCATTATGATATATACTGTATCTCATTATTCCTTATATGCTAGAAATTGATAGATCTTTTCATATTATATTATGCTGCGTGTATGTACATACGCACAAATATATATATATATATATATATATATATATGTGCGTGTGTGTATCTCATGTTGTGTAGTACTGTATATAAACACAGGTATTATGTACTGAGTACATAATACCTGAATTTATATACATGTACCCTGTACATACATAGACATACGTACATACACTATGAGTAGCTAAAAAGAGAGAGGTAGCGACAGAAAAATGATCACAGAGAAAGAGAGAGACAGAGACACTTTCAGAGACAGATAGAGACAGACAGAGAGGGACAGAGAGAGACCCGGGGTAACGAGGTGGAACGATGCTCGCGGTACGTAAGATTGCTGGTACTCTCCGGACCCAGAGGTGAACTTGCCTAACAGTACCTCGGGAATCGCAGACTCATAATTGGGTGTGCATGTAACAGCACAAGTTTGTACGTGATATCATTGGCAATGCCAGGAAGTTCAGCAACAGCAACTCCCGAACCGTAGAAGCCCATGGCATGGCTTGCTTCCGGTTGGCCTGATCCACAGTCTGATGGACGAGTGTACAGCAATGACTCCGCCCGCTTCCACTGCAAGCCCTGACCAGATTAGTACTGCAATGAAGTGTAGGGAACGACAGGTGCCCTCCCCCTTCGGAATGGTCCTTCTCGCAGGCGCTGATCACAGAGTTGACCTAGGGCTAGGTCAGGGTTGAAGAGTCTCTCCTCGCCCGGGACTCTCTGCCACCCGCCAAGAGAGCGACGGTGATTTCAGTGGTCTTCAGATGCGACAGACCTCAGCCCATGCATTGCAGCAATCCAGCTGCCATGTACATCGGCTTCTCAAACAGGGCAGTACTCATCTGGTCAAGAAGACTGATCGCGACGGTCCACTGATTGCCTCAACTTCCCAGCCACAGCCTTCATTCTGACTCCTCTGTGACTAGCGCTTAAGACCTCGCCTTTTTCCATGGCACTGATCACTGTGTTGCCCAGGACAACATCTGCCTGCAAGCCTGAGAGGCAGGTGGCGCCTCGGCGTCCCAGTGACCCTGTGAAAGGCCTCGTTCGCGAAGTTGGGAGCGGATGTCCACCGCCGTCCTAGGCCACTATGATATACTAGTTGTAATTATACAAAGTGCATGATGCTTCAAATTAAGTTAGCGTCATATTATACCGCTGACTGAAACGTATTATCATATAGTATTTATACTACATGGTACAATATGGCGTTATACTTTCTTATATGTTTTTGGACCTTACAGCATAGTGTGTAGCATAGCGTACTATACTCTAACAAAGTACAGTAGAGCAAAAATAATTGTGTACTAATTATTGTCTTGAACTACAACATATTAGGTCATAGAACTAGCTTACACTCTTTGCGACAATATTCTGTACTATGATATGATGTACGATGTTGTATTAAACCGTGTTGCAACAATATCATACTGCTTGCCAACTTCTATATCGGACTAAACTAGGTATTATACTCTTTGCTATTGCAGAAATACATATATATATATATATATGTGTATGTGTGTGAGAATGTAAATACGCGTTTACGTATATATGTATATATGTCTATATGCACGTATGTATATGTATGTATACACATACATGTTCTTCTATTTCTCATGTACTGTAACGTGCTACATACTACAATATATGTGGCATTTGTTGTATCATCATGTTGTACATCAGTTATGTCGCATAATGTTGTGGCACAAAGTTGTAGCCAAAACGATATGCTATTTCCTCGTATACTGTATGATAGTAGGCTCTCTCTCGCTCTCTCTGTCTCTGCCGTGCCATTATCAAGAGTCTCGCAATGCAAGGGCACGAGGACGCGGGCTAGAATATCAGGAAGCATAGTAAAATAGTAATGCATATCATGTTGTTTCGAAATTGTAGTACATTTTGCTGTATATTGCCGTGTTGCAGTTAATCACAGTGGACCACAGAAGGCATGACATGACACGAATGGTGTGAAATCACAAGAGATGATACCTGATACCGTACTATATTGCACATGAACTATATATACATATCATACTCTATATGATATCATGCGTATAAACACCGCATCTACATATACATATACATATATACATATATACATATATATATGTATTCACCTAGTGTATATATCTGTAGATTTCTTAGATACGACATACTCTACTAAAACCTGAATATTGTATGTAAAGTGTAATACGGTAACTGTACATAGATGATATAATATGTAATATAATGGAGATAGTATAACGTACCATGAAAAGACGCAATATACTGTAACGTTATGTGACAGAGTATTATATGACCTATGTGTTATATAAGACACGATTTAAATTATACGTTATATGTCTTAAACCTTGTCCATGTAAAACTAAACACTGTATCTTGCATGCTATCTTATGAAGCATGTGCCCCGTAATAATGAGTCCTACACAATACTATACGTTATGCTGTTTGCTGTATTGTATCATATACTACACACGCACTGTACAATCCTGTATCGTAGTACGTTATACACTACGACTTGCTCTGACGTTTGATTTTGTTCTGTCATATTTATCATCCGCTCAGACTCCCACCTCCAGTATCCTTTTGCCTCCACCCCGTTGGCTAACGCGCTGTACCTGCAGATCAAGCTTGCGAGGTCCACCCCCTACTCACCACGTACTCCACGAGCTGGGCACGTGATCAAATCTGCCTCTACCGTTACCTTGGAATTCTTCGGTTCTCGCATGCCTTCAAGTGCATCAAGTGCATCTTGAGAACCCCGCCATTGCCATGCGATCAAACATTTCAGCAGACTGCACCTGGTCCACAAACAGGACTAGGGGAGAACCTGCCTGCGGCAACCTTTGAGTACATTCAGAGGTCCAACTCGTCAACCCGAGAGCTTGACCCACGAAAAGGCTTTCTCGCACGCACTCAGGCTTGAGTTGTAGTTCACAACCTCGGGGATGCAGACATCTTCCAGAATGCTCCGGCACTCGGCCTTGGGCCTTGAAGCCTTGGGCCTCCTGCATTTGCTTCGGTTGTCTGCTCCCGCATGGTGGCGAGCAGCGTCGATGCTCCTTTGTGCGGAACGTTACAGGCAATCGTGAAACTCAGCCCCCAGACCCGACCATCTCAAGCTCTGAAGACTGTACTGTAAAAGGACCACAGAGCCCTAGACGCAATGCCGCTGAATGATGGGCCTTCCCATCTTCCACAGGTGCTAGATGCACTCAACACAACCTCAACACGGCTTACAGCCAGAATGTAGTGCGCGACAAACGACTGTCAGCCCGCATGCAACAATCGTGCACGAAGCTTTCCATAAGCACTCCGCTCCGCATGCCACGACGTCAAGCTCGAGACCTGGACTTTGCTATCTAGTATCTCTTCTCTCTAGCACAGATACACGCATGCATGCACACACACACACACACACTCACTCTCACTCTCTCTGTGGAAGCCCGCCGGCGGTCATCATGTGGGAAAACTCTTCGATGGACCATGGCCATTGCTTCGCCTGGGCTGTTCCGTCGTGTGCATTCATCTGCCTTTGAAATGTCCCTGCACCGCATGCCTTGGCGCAGGTGCCGATGCCTGCAATGCGAACAGCTGCGCTGCTTTCTGCGAAGGCGAGCGATACCGAAGACGATGCTACAGCAAAAGTGCCTAAGCTTTGCAACTAGGAAAAGGAAGCTAGTTTTGTTCCAAGTGACAGGCGGTGCAGATGACCTCGACATGCGGAAGTACAGGTTTTCGCTCGATGAAGGCAGCAAGAAACTGCAATAGGCCACACTCCGAGGGCGATGCTGCATCTAGTTTTAGCAGACTCTCGCACAGTCCGCTCAGCCTCGGAGCATCTTTTGAGAACGGAAACGCAGGCATAGGCTCGCATATAGAGTCAGCTCTGGACAAAAGCCTTGATTCCTGCCATCGCCCGCTTCGCCGACAGGCCAAAACCGCGCCTCTTCTTCACTCGCAAGTCATACGTGATGCAAGCGCAAGCAGCTGCACCGTGCCTGTAAAGTCCTGCAAAGTGCTCAGGTCTGACCTTTCAAGATGGGAGCATCGTGTACCAACTGCATGGTGCACAAGACGGCCTGCTTCTTTGAAGAGGTGTCCGAAGCAACGTGCTTTCCATTGCTGCAGGATCGCAACTGCATCATTGCACAACATGACTAATGACTGACATTGCAAACACGATTCAACGAGTCAAATGCCAACATGTTGACTTGAGCTAACAATGTGAACCTCGTTTCACGGATCAAGATGCTGCTCCACACAATCGTTATTGTGTTTCATATACTCGGCAAAGCAATGTAAAGTTCCAAACAGCAAAAGCGCAAAACAAATGTGAAAGACTGAAACTGAACACTGTGGGGCCTCTCGTATAAGACTTTGTCCTATGTGTATGGACAAAAACCAAAAATCAACACATCGAAAACTCTGCAACCTGCATTCCTGGTTTTTTTGTACTGGGAAACTTGTTTTATCGGTAAGAATTTTTGCCAGTACGTGTCTGATGTTGTTTCGTCTGTGGTGAAAACGCATTTGCGATGCGATGTGCCTGGTGTTTGATGTTTTGCGAACTCTGCCGATTCTGGAATAATTACTACTGCTGCCGTAGCGTGCGGCCCTTCAAGCACGTGTTTACAGTCATCGCTTGCTGAAACCTTGCAAGCTCTTCGCAGACAAGGTCTGTGATCTCAGCCAGCCCGGAGCGAATGAACCTGCAAGCCAAGCGACCGACAGTTTCTGATAAACAACTGGGCCTAGCCTACAGCAGTCACCATGTTAAAGGCGGTGCCCCACGCAAACAATGCAAGAATTCCCTTGCGGATGAGATTACCTTTCAATTCCGGACAAAGTCTGGGCCTGTGGAAGCGACTGCTTAGAAAGAGGGTTTTTTCAGCCTCTCTCGATGCCACAAGTCGGAGAACACAAAAAAGGCTGGGGAGACGAAGCCAAAACAGCCACAACCTATTGGAGTACACCGTGTCTATGTTGGGATTTAAGATTTAGGCTAATACGGGGAGGAGCCCCATATGGCCTTACGGCTGTAGAGTCAAATGCCATACCGTGTTCAGAGTGTCGTGCTCTCTTTGCAGATGAAGGGAAATCCACTGCCCTATGAAGTCTGATGCATTTAAATTCTCAGCGGGTCTGAACAAACTTCATTGTCACGGTGGTATTGAGGCTCCTTCTCCTCCACCTGGCACTGCCTGTCCCAGGCCTGGCTCGATCGAGAGCTCTTGCGTGATGTCGAAGCAAGATGCAGGCAGCGCATTCTCTCTCTCTCTCTCGCTTTATCGTCGCAGGCTGACGGCACAAAGCATTGTCCTTTGCAGGGCACAAAGCTTTTCTCGCGGCCATCCCGGGAGCCAGGTCGGCCCGCATTGGAGCGGTCTTCTGTGGAGCGAAGTTTCTCTGTCCCAGCCCTTCCGGTTTTGGGCTTGGGGCAATAAGTAAGGGCGCCCGCGCCGTGCCATCAGAGAAACCCGCAACCCTGAATCCTGAACCTTCATCCTAAACCCTAAATCCTAAACCCGGAACCCTACATCTACCCCCAAAACTACTGGACCAGACCCTAAACCCCACTCCAGGGTGTAAGAGCCACTGGCCGTCACTTCTTCGCCGCGGTCTGGTTCTTCGGCGGTGCACAGGGATCCTGATTTAGGGTCTAGGCTTTAGGGTTTAAAGCAGCACAGGCTTTAGAGTTCAGAATTTTGGGCTTAAAGAGTACGGAGCACGGCAAGGGGGCGCAAGTCGGGACTCCAAATGCGTACGTGCGGACACATGAACCCGCCAAGAAAAACAACCTGTGCTTATGATGGTCATAAACCCAAACCCTAAACTATTCACCAAGAGCTGAACCCTGAACCCCAAGCCCTTTAAAGCCCATGGACCTTAATTAAACCCTTATAGACCAAACTGTGAATTAGCTCAAGCGGCCATTTCGCTGCAATCCTTCTTCGCGTCTTCGCACGGCCTGCACCTGAGAAGCACAAAAACATCTACCTTGCGCGCAAAAAGAGTGGGTTCAGGTTGCAGGGTTTAGAACACCCTTACCGTTACCGATTACTCGAAACCCTGGAAGCCTAAGGTGAGGTTAGATTTGAGGGGCCTCACTCAAGAAGCAGTCAACGCTACACTTAAACTGTTGGCCAAGACGCTGAAGGAAACCATTGCAGCACTTCCTTGCTGCTCGGGGCACAGCACATGAAACCCCACACCCTATAAACTCTACACCCAAAGCTCTACACCCAAAGCCCTTACACCTAAATAGTCAACCCGTTATGTGCCAAGCGCTTCGTCGAGCATCATGTACACGTGCGTGATCGTCTTGTATTGGGCGCACGTCTTGATGCTCTCTCCCTTCATCACATAGCATTCGCAGCCGTGTAGATCCCTGATCAACCACTCCGCCCCATCCCGGTTCAAGGAGGATGAGCGTGGGGATCTGAACCCTAGAACTTAAAGCCCTAAGCCTTAAGCCCTGCATCTTGACATTGCGACCCTTACAAACGGGTAGGTAGTAGATGAATGCGGGGTCTTCAAGCATGAGAGACGATCACCTGCTCTGCTGGGAATCGGGGGCGTGGTTGAAAGCCTTGAGGGTTTAGGGCTTGGATTCAAGGTTTGGGATTTAAGGCTCAGGATTTCGTCGCTCACTCTCGTAAGGCTCAGGGTTTAGGGCTTGGGGTGTAAGGCGGCTTGGGCTTCAGGGTTCGGCACGTAGGGCAATGTGGGGCTCAGTATTCAGGGCTTGGGGCTCCAGGATTTGGGATGCAGGGCTTGGACCTACACCACGAACACCCTTGAACTGGGTTGGCGGCGCCTGCAAGTTGTAGTTGCAACAGGATTTCTGATTCCGTAGCAACTTGGAATGCCCGTGTCCCCGGGTTTCCTTGGCTGGGGCTGGAGAAGCTCTTGGTGACCAACAAATGTTGCAAACCCCTGAACCCTAAAGCCTATGAAGCTTTTTTTGCACAAACTAAAGCCTATGAAGCTTAAAACCTAAACCCTTCCACCCTAAATCCTATACATACCTAAACCCCAAACCCACAGCCTCTTGTCCAGCTTTGAAGGGTGCAGCGTCTGCATTTGAGCTTGCGGGTTGTTCGGGGCTAAGGGGTTCATAGTCAGGGGAAGCAGCGTTTGAGAGCATAGACATTGTCAGGTTTAGTGTTTCGGGTGTAGGCCGCCTGGCACACGCCACATGCCAGGTGCGGTGAGGTACCTCATACGGGAGTGTAGCTTGGTTTTCAAAACGACGTAAAGTGATAGTGCTCTCTGATAGCGGGTCTTGGCGGAAAGTGTCGTCATCCACAAGGAATTGCCCATAATTGCCCTCCGTTGGCAACGTGCATTACAGCAGGGAAGGCTCTGGATTGTGTAGCAGCACAGCGACTACCAACATCCCGAACTACTTTCGCCAGGATCCTGGCAAGTTTCATCCATCCGAACACCTTCAGACACCATGAACCCTAAACCCCAAGCGCAGGGCTTCCAGGAAATGGCCGCGCAGTGAGTGTAGAGCATGCGAAGAGTTCAGCGAAGTGGCATGCACTTCTCGCACTCATGGTGCAACCATTGCCCGTGCCTGATTGCAAACAGGGTTTAGGAGTTCAGGGTTTAGCGTGCGGGTGTAGGGTCTCGTGTTTGGGTGCTGCAGTCTGCAAAGCACACTACCCTGAACCCTTTTTTTTTGCACAGGCTTGTGAATACCCGGCTGGATCTCAGAGGCGCCGCACTCGTGGCAGAGACTCTAGTCTAAGCACTCGAAACATCTGAAGCCTGCAGCAGCCTGCCGAACCTGGAAGCCGTGTGAGCGTAAACCTTAAACTTAAACCCAATTGTGGGTAAACACTTTTTGCAGCTGGGCCATGAGTGTCAGCCAGCGAGTCCGCTCATGCACTGTAGGCAAACCCCAAAAACCCTGAACCTAGACCCTAAATCCAGAATGTTAGACGTCTGAGTCTGAGAACACGAAAACAGCGGAGTCCCGACGCACCATGCCCTAGGCAACACGCTAAACCCTAAAGCCCTAGGTACCTTGAAGCCTCAAGACTCAAAACCTCAAGCCCAAGCGAGAAAACTAAACCTTAAACCCTAACTAAGCCCATAAATACCCCAAACAGCACTAAACCCTGAACTAAACCCTGAATGAAACCCTCAACAGCCTAAAGCACGTCTGAGGCGACCGCTTGCCAATCCAGCTCCCATAAGATGTGTATTCCTCCCATGCAGTGGCCACCGAGCCTCCCTTGGTGGGATTTTTTTACGAATTTAGAGTTTGGGTTTTACGCTCTCGCACTTGGACAAGCCACCCGAGGTCTATCGGCTTGCGAATTTGGGGTTAAGGGTTTGGGACTTAGAATAATGTAGAGTTTGGTGTTTAGGTGGCTAGGGTCTTGGTTCAAGATTAAGTCTATTAAGGCTTAGCGTCTTGATGGGGTTTAGGTTCCAGGGCCAGAGGTATGCAACAGGAAGCGTTTTCGAACGGCTTCAGCTAAACCCTAAACCTTGAAGCTCTGAACCCGAAACATTAAACCCTATAGCCGGAACACCCCTACACCTTATGAGGTGGAAGCATAATCATGCAGATCCTCCACCAGATTTAGCAGGCAAGTCTGTCCCCCCCACACCTTCACCCTAAAACTCGGAATCACAAGGCCCCCGAAGCCCTGAACCTTGAGCCCTGACTCCTACACCCCAAAGAGCAAAACGAAACCCTGAACCCCAAACCCCAAATTCTAAACCTCAAAACCCAAACCCTAGACACTCAACGACCCTACTCCCTGAATCATATCCACCTAGACTGTGTGCCACCAAGCCGCGGGGACCTAGACACCCTACAGCCTAAATGAGAAATCCTAGACCTAAGCCCTATAAATCCTAACCCCAAACCCTAAATCCTAAGACTAAATCTTAAACCTTAAACCCTGACTCTCTCTAAGCTGTCTGCCTCCCAAGCTGCAGGGCACTTGGGATCTGGTGCATTTTTCAATTCGTAATTTCTGGGCTGCGGCTCGACTTCACGGTCCTTCTCTTCAAGGGCAGGACGCACCTGGATCTAAGCTACAGTTCGGTTTAGGGTCGAGGGTTGGAGGGTACAGGCTGAGGGCATCGTTTGAAAGCCGCGAGCATGAATCCCAATCCGCCAGATCCAATCAAATCCAAAACCCTAAACCTGAACGCAACTACCCCTCTTCAACCTTACAATGTGACTGGTTTAGGGTGTAGCCCTGCACCAGAGAGCAGATACCGCCACGCAGCCCAGGGGCCGCATGGACTGTGTGAAGGAAGGTCATGGCGAGCAAGAACTGCTCCAGGATGACCAGAGATGGCATCATAGTATCCTGCGAGGCACGATCAGACGATAAAGGCTTATCAGGGTTCAGGCAAGAAGGTTATGGGTCTAGGGTCCAAGACTTAGGAGCCACCCCGTATATTTTGCAGCCTAGGCTGCCTTGCAACAGGACACCCTGGCTAAACGCTGAACCCCAAGCCCTAAACCCTGGCCCGCAGATCCCACCTCCTGCGTAAATTTCCCCTCAGCACCCTTCGACTTCCCTCCGTACCAAAGACATTCCAACCTTGAGCTGGGTCGCCCATATGTTCGTTTTTGGGCTAAGGATTCAAGGCTGAGGGTTGAGGGTTTCGGCCTTCCGTACAAGGTCAGTCATCACAGTAACAACCAAGAGAGCGCACGGTGCGCGGGGGGTTTGGGGGACTGCTTCAGCAGGAAATAGCCAGCCCTAAACAAGAAGGCCCTGCAGCACGTGTTGTGGGGCGGGGGGCTGTCTTTGAGCTAGGGGCCCGAAATACCATCTGCAGCTCAAGGTTAGGGGTTTAGCCTTTAGTAGGGTTCAAGAATGACCCGTATTTCAGGCAACCATCCACCATGACAAAGTGCGACAAAGGAACAAACAACGGAGATAGCAAAGGATGGATGCTACGCGCAAGGCAGGGCTCTCTCGCTTGAGCCAGTGTTTCGGCCTTCAGTTCCTGGCGAAGGGTTGAGGGTTTGCACTGGGGCTTTAGCGATAGTGGGGGTTTAGGGTTTGGGGGTTCGGGCTTAGGGTTTGGGATTTGGCGTTTCGGGTCAAGGGCTTATGGGTCATATAACGAAGATGGACAAAGCTCGTATGGGGTTCCCAAACTCAGACTCCGAACGTTAAGTGTCCCTGCAGATACAGTCTAAGTCTAGAACCACCCAGAACGGCCTGAACTCTGCAAGCTTCCATCCTTTACAAGTAGTTTTGACAGATCCGCACATGCTGCTTACAGTCTGCTATGCAATCCTAAGCACCACACCCCTTTTTGCACAGGCTTGCTCATGCCCGCCCCAAAGCTTTTTTTTTGAACCCGCCCCAGAGCCTAAACCACTCCTAAACCCCAAACCCTCAACGCTTACCGGGTTCGGGTTTGGGGCTCAGGATCCGCGGCATCAAGCTCAGGCCACGGGCCTATATGAGCCAATGGGTTGCCGCTGCAAGGGGTCCAAAGCTTAGAGGGTTTCAATCTCTTCTTCCTGGTGCGCGCAAGAAGGAACCCTCCAAAGTCCGGATAGCCAGGTTTTTAGGTTTAGGCTTGGGCTTAGGGTTGAGTGATTTTGCTTAGGACTTGGGGTGTAGGAGATGCATAATGATGGAAGAAACTGCGGATCTGTATCAACCTGAACGACTTCCGCATGGTAATAAATTCTCATACTGGTAGGTGCCTCACTGCGGAGATCGGTTTCCCCTCGATTCACTGAGGCAGCGATAATGATCTTGCTTCCGAGCATCATCAGCATCAGCTGGAAATCTCTTTGGTCTCAAAGCACCGTCTTCGGGTCTTGCAACCCGCAGCAGCGTAGCAGTTCGGCCCTGATACTGCGACTTGAAGCGCTTTGTTCGGGTCATTCAGACTCAACCCACAGCAGGGTGGCAGTTCGACGCTGTCACTGGGCTGCCTGTAGGTTGAAAGCCCCGGAGATGGGGTCGTAAGTCCAAATGTGTTGTCCAGTTTCTGCTGGTGATGCTCGCCCCACGTTTCCCTGAATCCGTACAATCACATGGTCGAACTTCTACCCTGCTGCGGACTGAAAGACCGGACATAGCTTCGTGAGTCCCAAATCCAAGATCTTTATTTGATGCTTGTTCGCTAAATCCGTCCAGTGACAGGGGCGAACTACGATTCATCGGCGGGTTGAAAGTACAGAAGATATGGCTGCGAGTTCAAAATGATTTCCAGCTGATGCTGATGATGCTCGCCCCGCGGTTCGCTGGCCCACGGAGCAGTGATTGTTCATGCGTTCGGGCATCCGGTGGGCGTGTCCATCTGTGCTGTCGGTGTGAAGCTAGCCGGACGTGGGCCTCCTCCCGTGTTGGTAAGGACCTTCAGCTTCGGCACGTTGCAAGCGCTGCAAGGCACAGACAGGACTGGGTGTGGAGAATAGGCCCTCCTATGTTGGCAAGTCTGAGCTCAGTGATTCAATCACTGTGAGGCCGACAAGCGCGACAAGAGCTTCATCGAATCTCTGCCACAGCAGCTGAAATTTATCTGTATCTCTCGCTCCCTCTTCCTCGCTCTTGTTGTCCCCTGGCTTTCGTAGGTATGAATGGACATGTGGGGAAGCAAATGAGGGCCACAGCCAAACCAGGCACGCAGGCGGGTAGGTACTGGTATATGGTCGACGAGCGGAACATCACGTCAAGTACGCATGGCGGCCGATGTTCCGATCAATGAACAACAAGCAGGAGAGCGAAGGCGCATGTGTTGAGTTCACAAATTCACCAACATGCCTCCATGCCTGCATGAGCCAACGAATGCATGAATCAATGAATCTGCATGTACGTAATGTATATGGATCTTGAAAACTTTCTTCCGCCGTGAAAATGGTGCAAAGGCATGCGAATACCAACGCATTACACCACTACATCTGCGAGAATCGCTGTCACTGTGGAGGGTTTGAAGCTTCGTAATGTGTTTAGCCTCTTAGCCGCACTGGGACACTAAGACAGCAGCGGTTGCATAGCTTTCGAAGTAGAGCGGAAAGTATTCCGTAGATAGCACACCTATAATTTAATAATATCAGCTTTCACAAATCACGGAAAAAATGTCCGACTGGTCTGCGTTGGCGTCGCGAGCCTGCTGGATTATCCTGGTTCGTCGATGGTCCATCACACGAAACGGTTCTCAAATATTGTGATTGAGTGTAGGTGGCGCATTCTGCACTGTGAGCGCGGGATTGTTCGGCGGGCCGCAGGGCAGCAGGAACGTTTTGGCAAATCCGGCGTCGGTTGCGGCTTCCGAGTGCCAGGGTTCCAGTTTGATCAGTTTGGCTGTTCTGGGAGAGTTCCGGGGTAGTGAGCACCGACTGCATCTGCTTGCTTTTTGCTGAACATGTTCGGGCATTGATTGATCCGTACACAAAGCAGTTGTGACCCGAATAAGCGAACTAAGCTCATAATTTCATAGCATGACGCAGAACCTATAGATGACCTGTGCATGGGGTTGCGTTCAGTCAACTGACCTTACAGGACCTCATGCCACAGGGCCAATGCTCGGCGTGAGAGTGGAAAATCAAGAGACAATCGAACTGCGACCAACACGCGATTTTGGTCCTGGAGGGATGGCCTGCAACAGTAGCCGATCTGAATGCACCCCTATGTTCTCTTGATGCGATTAGCGACAGCCCCTTTCGCGATGTGAGTCGAGTTCGTCGAGCTCTCGGCTGGCAAGTCCTGTGCATCTTCTGCAAAGCTTCAGCATAGGCCGTGTGATTTCGAACTACTGTTGGCAGCTGCAGGACTCTATTGGGCATCCAGATCTCGTGATGTGTTCGGGTGGAGATGCGAGTCCTGCAGCAACCTCGCACAACCTCCAGGGCAAAGTTGGCTAATGACACAAAAACAGATCCAGCATCAACAGCTACTCCTGGATCTGAGCTGGGCCCTGTCGCATTGACACATGAAACAGAATGAGCAGATGCAGTGCATGCATTTAACTCCTTCTCCTGAAGCACCGAAGCTCTCTCTCTCTGTGCGGTGTGTCCAACTGCCGTCAGAACACAGCACAAGCTGAAGCGATTCTACGATCGAGGTGTACAGTGTACAGTCCTACGCGGCTTCGAGTCTAAAACTTTGTGCAGGGCTGAGAGGCCTCAGAGACATCGGAAACTTTTTTGGCTTGAATGGGCCTCGTCGACTACGGCTGTAGCTCTCGGTCCCTACAAACAAGCGAAACTACAATCCAAACATCAAACTAAACAAAACGGTGAAACAGAAAGCGAAGCTCTACAAAGGCTGCGGCGCACAGGCTTTGCCGGTGTTAGCCGTTCAGCGCAACTACGGAGCCTCAGCGACCGGTCAGGAGCAACAATGAGCCGTCGCTCAGAGCCGCCCAAAACACAGGTGGAGCCAAGTCCAGACTCCGGCTGCCGTTCTAGTCTCGTCAGACAACGGACAACCCCTGTGTTTTGTTCCGATGTCAGCCGCGACGGGAGCACGCGATTGCGTGGGCCGCCCCCCCCCACAGCTCGCCCTGGGTCCCTAGCCAATGGCGGCTAGCCCCCTCAATGCCTCAATGGAGAAGCATCGGGGGGCTAGCCCCTGTCGGCCAATCACCTGCAGAAGGCGGCAAATCATCTCGCTTTGCCACGCGGCTGCCTATCGGGGATGTGACTTGAGGTGCCGGCGGCTCCGAATGAATGTGTAAGGACGCTCCCGGCTGCAAATACACCACGATCCCTGCAGCTCCAAGATCATGTCCGACCGTGGCTGCCTCGAAAATTCGCTGCTAACTGCCGTCCCCTCGTCAGCGGGGCCAATGGCCCGCCGTGAAGCTGACTGGCCATCGTGTTGGCACTTCGGACTGCAAAAGATGCGGCCTGCGCTCCAGCCATCAGGCGCTCGAAGAGTAAGCTGGACAGGTCGGCTCTCCGCTGGAAAGACCTCCTAGGCGTGGAAGGCGCCCCCGAGCCGGGGCCCTGCTCCGTCGTCCTGTGCCTTCCCCAGGGGGGTTAGCTCGCTTGGTGTGAATCCGCCCTCCTATCGGTGCTCGAGGTTTGGCGGCGTGCCGCGGAGCCATGACTACCACCTATCCCGTGAATCCGGGCCCCCTGCCCGCCTGACAAAGGAACCCGAGAGACGCCAAGCTGCAGTGGGAAAGCCAGACTGAGGCGCCGGCAGGTCTCCCTAGTTGCCTGCACCCCCCCTGCCCCCGCCCCTTCGGCCGGCTTTCAATGCATGCTGAGCCAAGGCCGCGGTAAAAGCGGAGAAAGAAACAGTCACCCTGCTAACAGTACACTCGATGCGCGAATAAAGCCACGTGGGCGTGAAAGCATGATGCAAAAATGACCCTG